TGGTATGCAACAAATTGAACTTTTCGAATGAGATGAGATGAGATGCGACGACAGCTGCACTTCAAATATGAATGATGTGTTTTATGATTCGTCGCCCTCCCCTTCCTTCAGCACTCCAGCCAATACCCGTTTGTAATCAACTTCTGTAAGAACGTCAACTGAACAAAGCAGATCGTAGTGACGTTTTTGCTAGAAAACGAAACTCACAAGCCGTAATTCTGCATGGGTATAGTACTTTTCAGAAAATACTCGTTCACCTCGTCGGAAGCATCATCAAAGTCCACGTGCGCCTTTTTCCTGTTCTCTACTAAGGATCTTGCCTCTGTAGATAGCTTCTACACGACGATCACACACAGACTACCTATACAACGAAAAAGCGTTTGTTGCTGGTACTGCACCAATTTCTGTAAACCTGAGTCAGAGTGTGAGGAGGTGAAATATTTCGGGTCTAAATAAACAGGTGAAATAAACCCAAAATGGTCTCGCATCACTAAGAGGCCAGTGCTTGTCTTGACCTCCGTCCGTCTGCCCTGAGCTCCGTGATAAACTTTGTACTTCAGAAGTAAGTCTGGGGCAAAAAGTTACTAACGATCTGCCATTCCCGTAGGTTGACCTCCAACTTTAATTCTCCTCCGTACAGAAGAAAATTATCGCAAATCTCTCATGATTGAATGACTGTGTAACCCTAACTCTCACGGCTCACCGAACTCCAACACCGAAGTCCTTGGAAACCAGCCCTTCAAATGGAAAACTATCGCGTACTTCTACCTCCAAGCCGCTCTCTGACACCTTCCTTCCTCTTGCGAGTCAACTCCTCAATAAATTAACCACCTTATCCGGACCAAAACCGATTCGATAGGATTCGGGATTAGGTTGTGTTCTCCTCGTTTGAACCACAGTAACGTGGTGGAAAGGCGCAGCAAGCAAAGCGGTAGAGTGCCTTCCAAAAGATGTTTCTTCTGCTGCAAGGCCTCTACAACGCTCCTCGACCACCACCACGTCAATACCACTCAAGAGACAAAGGTCTCTTCGCAGAACTCTAATCCTTCGCTTTTTGTTTCCTTTGCACTTCCAACACAAGCTTAACCGATGAACTCTTCATCTAAGCTCCACTTCCGCTACCTTCGAAGGACCTAAAAAATCTTTTGGACTGCACCTTACACGTAGCGCGTTCGAGCCCTAAACCAAACACACCCACTTTGCTCTTCCGACAATGACGATTGAACCAACGATGGACGCAGACTCTAAGAACTCTCGAGATCGACGGAGACTGTAAGAACTCTCGAAACTGATCGATGTGAAGTTGCAAACCTTGATCGTGAAACGTGATGATCGTCTACTTTAGACAAACTGACTTGACAACGTCACACCGACGGATTCGATGTACGTAAACGAGTTCTTCGAGTGAAATAAACGGGAGATTCCCCACTGGAATTCCCATCGGTCAATTACCCTACTGGCAACAAACCGTCACCGTCACAAACATGAGTCAAGCCCAACCCACTCCACACTCGGAGAATCCAGGTCGACGCAAAGGGGAAAGTCGCTCTACGCTCCCAACGCTTTCAGGCTCGACTCGAAGAACTAACGTTCTTCGAGCCGTCTCCGATTGTATACCCCTCGTGACCCGAACCCTATTTCCACGTCTAAATATAGTAAGTTCCCAAACTGCGTGAGCCGACTCGTAACTACATGACATGATACCCACGTCATGATTTTCATAATTATTATTTTTCAACAAAATAGTGTTAAGTATGATGATTTACTGTAAATTGATTTTTAGACAATGCAAAATCTTTGCTAGGTTACGTTGATGCTAATTATGTTAAAGATTTGAATCATAGTAAATCTACAATTGAATATATATTTACACTTGGAAATATTAGTTGGAGATCTAACTTGCAAAAATACGGAGCTCAATCTATAATTAAAATTGAATATATAGCAAAAGCAAAATCAACTAAGTAAACTATTTTGTTGAATAGACTTTTCAACAAAGTTGAGATTGTCAATCTTCATTATGGTTTTCATGTGATTCCGTCTGTTACTAAAAATAGCAGTTGGCCTAGGGTTCAGGTCGTTGGGTATAAATACGAAGACGACTTGAAGAACGTCAGTTCTTCGAGTCGAGCCTAGCGCGTTGGGAGTAGTGCCCGTGAGCGTCAACCTGGAATCTGCGAGTGTGGAGTGGGTTGAGCTTGACTTTGTTTGTGACGGTGACGGTTTTCTGGCCTGTAGGCTAATGAGACCGACACGTTTCCAGTGAGGAAATCTCGTACTTTTCACTCGAAAAACTGACGTTTTCTGAAATCGTTGCAGTTTAGGGTTTTAGTTTCGGTGCTTTACTAGTTATAGTTTTTGGTATTTTTCGGGTGATTTTCTCAGTTGGAGTTGGAGATTTCTCGTGTTTGTGACGAGACTGTCATGCTCAAGTTGAATTTCAGGATTTCGAACGAAGGTTGTCAAACGAAATTGCCTAGGGTTTAGGAGGGCGTAGGATCGATTTTCAGAATCTGTTCAAATTTTTGGTGTCATCGGAAACTAGATCGCATGCTGCTGGAAGCGAGGGGTTTCGAGTGAGATTCCTCATCGAATGAGCATCGGAGCTCGGAGGGTACCTTGGGTTTGGCAGGATACGTAGCAGGCCTAGATTTGCATATTTCGGGATTTGAATAGTAGATGTCGATGCACAAATTTGCGGAACAGATAGGTTCACTCTAGGTGGCTGGTGCCTGGGTACAACGGGAGGTGACCAGTGTGCATCAAGATGATTGCAAGGAGGTGAAGTGCAGTAGTACAGTATTGGTAGAACTTAAGTAGTTATCAAGAAGATGCGGAAAGGTAGAAGTGAAACTACGAGAAGGAGCACGTGTTGATACTGCGGTAGAGCTCAGAGAGTTGGAAAGCGCACTCATAATTCACTGTACGAGTTCAGACCAAGTTCACCGAAATAATCAGGCAGTATGATGTACGAGCTACAAAAACGAATCAGTTTAGTAACATGTATAATGCATTCAAAGAAATGTGTGCACACTGGAGTTTACTTTAAGTAAATAGATGTCGACCATCTTCGTGCAGGATATTGTGGATACCATTTGGGGAATGAGGAAACAATTATGACAGTACAAGTCTACACGACACGTCCTTGAGGTTTCTAAGCCGCGAGCATGGGTATCAGCTCAAGCAGCTGTATCTTGGAGACTTTTGATTGGTGGACCGCAGTGGGTTGGAATTGTAGTCGAATCTTTAGACTACTCATTTGAGGATGCTCTCGTGATTCTCTTAGCGGGACCTAGTTTGGACATCGTTTTAGATCAAACCACCTGTCTAGATGTATTCAAGGAGGCTACAAAAACGGAAATGACTTCCCTTATGACAAAAAGAGGATGAATAGTGCATCTCCAAAGTTTTTGAGAAAAAAATGGAGCTACTCAAAATTGACGATATATTCAATCTAGCTGATGTATTGATCAAAATTATTCGTTTGAAAAACTCCAACAAACATATGCTACTTTGCAAATTTTGCATGACAAGCACAAGTTAACTTTACTAGCAATTTCTAATTAATTCTATATATTTTTACTCTAACATGTTTTGGCTATAGTTTATTTCTAGTTAGCTAAATTTTAACTAAAAACGTTTAATAATTTTTTTTTCAAGAAATTCCCACAGAGTAATTATATAGGCTAAGCAGATTGCTAAGGCCGCAACATGGACAAAATTATTAAGTGAAACCCTCAATTAGGGTTTCACTTAATGGTGAATTAGTGACGCAATGTAGATAGTTGTAAATCAAGAGTATCAAGATAATCAACTTTAGAGTTTAGTCTGAAATGACTATGTCTCTACTTTACTACTTAGTGCGACAAGTTTGCTCATCACGCCACACATTATACATGTGTTCTTCTGGACAAAGTTGGAAGTAAGAATCTCGTTATTTATTGTATTGTATATTGAATCGTCTTTTGTGAAATCACACAATATATTGAAGACAATTACTTAAATCACACAGTTTTTGAATAATTTTTTTTCATTCTTTCGATTGTAGAATGAAAAAAACTAATATTGTTGAAAAAAACATGTTTTCAACAATTTGTTATGCAATGTTTTACAAATATAAAAAATTGTTACCAATAAAATGTATTGATTAACAATCAAATAGTTTTATCAAATTCAAACAAGAAAATATATCATTAGTTATTGTATACTATGAAAAAAATATTCTTCATTTGAATAAAATGACCCATTCACCGATGTAAATTTGTAGGTTTTTTGTTTACACGAAGTTAACACATTTTCGTTCTGTTTACAGCAAAGCTTGAGCAGTCTATAAATCAATTACTGATAATAAAACCATTGTAACCTATGGTCCAACCCCTAAATAAACATAGGAGGTAACAACCCATGTGATGCACGATGTAATTTTTTACATGGATTAGATTAGCTTTTAAATCTAGGATTTCTATTTGATTCTTTATTGAATATATACACTTGAATATTTTTAAATCAAATAAGGAGAATACCTTTTCATTTTAATAAATCTTCTCTTTCAAAGAATGAAAATATCCACGTCGGCATATATAAAACGTGTAAACCAGCTTATGCCCATCTTATAGATGACTAAAATGCGACTAACTCAAGCGATTTCCAACTAGACCGGATGGGAAACTAAATATTTCTTCTGGATTATTATAAAACTCTAGGTTGGCTTCCAACTCTAAGATAATCTCAGAGAAGGTACACCCTTGTAAAGTGTACCAGTAAATCTCACAATAAAGACTTGCAGTATACGAATGAGATCTTGCAGTGAAACACTTTGGTTGCGGCGGAAGTACAGGGAGTTACTAGAATCGCGGTTCTGCATTTCTGGCAAGCACGGAGATCGGAGCATGGGGAAATTGGGAACAACTCAAAATTTGATCGGCAATGGCACGTTCCGTTAGATTCAATGATACCACACAGCGAACGCCACCGAACATTCATAACTCCACGCACATGTACGAAAGGAAAGCAAAGCCGAGCAACACAGGCAACTCTTTCTTCCTCGTGGATTCCACTCTTTGGAATCCAGCAGGCACATCACGATATGGGCTCGAACGTGACGAAAGATGAAATTTTTTCTTTAGGATTTGCTTATGTTCGAAAGGCTGAGATCGACTCGAGGCTGTTGCATCATGAAAGATGTGGTAACCAATTGTCCGCAGATTCGATTCCGATCACTCTTTAGGCAGTTGACAGGTCTACACATCCCAGTCCTTTTCCATCGAATGGACCACGAGGCTCTTATGATCCAAGAAGCCAGCAGCGCTACGTTTGACGGTTCACATGGCTTTTCCTTTCAAGATATCTCACCCATACGAGGTTTTCAGACCCAAAGTTGCTCTAACTCAATGGCAGACATGCCTACAAAAGCTGTAAACCCTAGCGAACAATTTCGCAAGCTACCATCACTCTTTGATCTTTCGGCGTACCAGGACATGGGTTTAATTGCGAGACAGGAAGATATTCCCATCAGAAGTCCACCCCGATGCACCTCGCCCTGGACGAAGAAATATCCACCGCAATATCAAAAGCTAAACCTCCTCCCTCAATTTCCAGCACATGCAAGAGAACTGACATCTTTTCCCCCCAGCGCTCGAGCAAACATCGATCCATCAGTCGGGTACGAGTAGCCGGCCAGTTGCAACCCAGGTCTCGGGCACGAGGTGCGCGTCGAGTCCACAAAGGAAAACGCCACGTCGTCAAAGTCCATGCCGGTATCTAAGGGCCAAACCACACGACCGGCAGCGGCAACGGATCCTCGCTTGTCATTGGCAGTCCAGGTCTCCTTTACCACATGGGCAATTTCACATATACTAGGTGGCAAAGAAATCTACTGCTCCAAACTACCAGCACTTCCGCTCGGAAATCCGGTTTTTTCGGAATATCTCGACTCCACGTGTATTTTCGCGCGTTCTTGGGCTATTCCTCCAAGGACTTCTTTTCACTCCATTGCAATAAATAGAGACATTTCTCACTTTTCAGTCCGAACGCACTACCGGCAGTGTGGTAGAGGTTATGGGATTGTTGTCTCCAGCTGGCCAACTCAGGCCTACAAAAACCAGGTTTTCTTCTAGCCAGGAGCTAATTGCCGTCTGCCGGTCGTAACTCGCCATGTCCAGCTCGGCTCAGATGTTGCGAAAGCCGACTTCCTCCTCCACTTCAGTGCACAGTCATAGAGACTAGAAAGGAGGCCTGCAAGCCGTCCGTCCACGTCGACCTGGTCATGTGCCACGTCACCGTCATGTGCGCTCGGAAGAAAGGTCCACTCGGATTCGGTCGGACACGGCGGATGTTCTCAACTTCACGAGCACGAGGAGGAATACGAAGGTCGACGGATCTTCGGGGCCCGGGCGACGACGAATTTAAGGGTGGCAGGAGTGCGAGGCTTTGCTTTTCGAGGCGAAATTCCTCGAGGAAGTTGACCTGAATTTGGGAGAGGACGTGCGGGCATGCGGGCGGAGCCAAGCTTTGAGGACGTAGGTTGAGGTGAGCTTCACGCTTTGTCTGATGCGAGGTCCACTTTGACGTGCGTGCTGCTGGACGAGCGCTCGGTGGTTGGCTGCAGCCGCGGCCCCATATGTGGAGTCACGAGCTGGGGCGATCTGCCGTAGCATTGGCGTCTGCGGCATCCGGGATTCGAAGCCGATGACTCAGCTGCACAAGGCTGTGTGTCGGATCTTGCTTTCGTTTTTGGGCTCTCTTCTAGGTCCGGTAATTCTACCTATTCGGGCAATCTGGAGCACTAAATTTCATGCAGTGATTGATCTTTGTGGCCGCGCTGCTGGAGCGAAGAGTAGTGGGTGAGCACCATTGGGCGATGCGGTGTATTGAGTTGTGTGCGCGCTGCGGGAGCGAAGAGTAGAGCAGTGTTGCTGACCTCTCTCAGAGGTCCATATGTTACACTAAACGAGCCTCACGAGGTGGGTATGACAAGGCTGTTCATTTGTGTTTGGTAAGAAACGTGGTTTGATTCAAGATTCCGGGATATATTATACGCAATCCTAAATTGCACTTCCCAAAATTGGCATTCTAACCTTACCGGGCCACTTTTGACTAAGTTTGGCTGTTCATCTGCCAATCAGAACCTGTGTGATGAAAAGAAAGAAAAGAATTAATACTAGTAGTTTGCAACGTTTACTGTTGCTTGTAGTCCGAATGGGGGAAATTTCGTCACCGAAGAACGTCGATTGTTGTCAAGTACGTGCTGATAAGGTCATCCTTACCACTTCCCAAGTTTCAAAGGAATCCGAGGACTTTCCATGCTACAATCAAAAGGGTAAGATGTTGTTAGAGAGAAAGAGGTGTTTCCAATGTGACTTCTCTTCGAGATTCCAAGATGAGTGAGGGGACTATCTTGTCTCATGTCACATAATGCTCAATATTCTTATGAACTGATGAGAACGATGAGAGTGCAGCCCAACGTGGAAATCCAAGCCAGTGGGTTGAGATGACGGACGATCTTGTCATTCACGTGTAGAGAAACGCTTCTGGGGGCCGATGGTCCAGAATTCATGGACCTTCCTTGCAACATGCCTGACTATTTTTGCGCCAAAAGAGCGTTGTCGAGATTCCTCCTACACGTACTCAATTGACTGTTATGGTGTGGGAATCCGAACTAGGTCAGCTGAGACTCAAGCTTATCAATGCCAAGAATCCCATTCCACCGAAGCACGCAGTCATACGAACGAACCTGGTATCGCTCTCTGGTGATTCCTTTTCTTAGTGCAGTTGTGCAACAAGGCCGTTTTCTGCAATCACCTGGCCCGGCTGTATTCCAGCTCTCACGCGGGAGGGTCCGAAGCAGTGGAGAAAGATATTGTCCTTCTTCGTCCGACGGACAAGTGTCAGAAGGGTGTATGACCTTACGGCGCAAAGGTATCATCACCTTAAAGATTCCTGTCGGCAAAGACTCCCTAACGACGGAGGACCGTGGAATATCTGGGAATCAGCGCATCATCCTCAAAAAGCTTGTAGAGGGTTGGAGGATCGTCGGATGAGCCAATGCGGAGCTGAGATAGAACAGTCAGACAAAATTGGGTGCCATTGGATTCTTCAGTGGATTCTCCTGATCTTCGATATCCTCCTCCCTTCGTGTATTCGTTCGTGATAGATTTTTCCTACACAGGCTTGTCAGAGAACCTCCGTTGATGAATAAAACAAGCTCTTTATTATTCATCATTTCACACTCTCTCCCACTAAAATGACATAGTAATGGAACAGCTTCCTTCGACTTTCTATTATACATTCTGAGGCAGGTCCATCCCATAATTGTGTGCGTGCTCAGTGCACGTCCAACGGATTCCATCCACCGTGCAGTGCTGAACCGTGCATGGAAGTTACTTTTATAACGGAATGTGCTCCCCGCAAATCGGAGTTTCGGTCGCAAACTCTTCCTTCCAGCCACGTGAAGTTCCACAATAATTACCACTGATGGTCTCGTGACCGCAATTACACCATGCCAGATAGACAATGATCTAAGACAGCTGAAGTTACCACAACTTGTTATAAGAAATACGGACGGCACACATCAGACGAAGATGCGGCAGCGAGGAGACGAGAATCCCATTCATGTATCATGTACAGCCAAAGAAGAGCAAACACAGGTTCGGACGAGAAACAAGAGAGCTACAGGGTCAAGAGGTGCCAAGGCAATGTTTTGAAGTGTATTGATAAAATGTGTGTTGGACTTCAGCCTATCTACAAAATCGAATGCCTTCTACATACAGATCTCGATGTCCGGTAAGAACTCGATGCGGCTAACAGATCACTCTGGGCCGCCTTCGCGCTGCACAAAAATTTCTGCTGCAGACGGAAGAAACTCCCGACTGAAATGAGTGATGTCTAGCAATGTATCGTAGTGAAGGAATGTGAAGCCAGATCGACCTTCTCCAGGTCTGCCTGCGGCTCCGCAGGGTTATATTGCATAATTTTGAATACTAGAGGCTAACATATACGGCTCAACCTAAAACCTCACTAGTGGCATCGAGTCTCTGAGGACTCCTCTACAAAACCTAAACTGATACTCCGTATCAGCACCAAGTCTCCCAGCTGCGTCGTCGATTGCAGCCACTGGAAATTGACAGCCACTTTGCAAACAATTTCTGCTGGGATTCCAAGACTTTTGGCCAGAAGCCGTGCTGGAAGAAAACCCTTCCATTCGGCCTGCCAAACCCGACCAGGTGAATCGTCGAATTCTCCATCTTCCACCCGTCTCGAACAGATGCGGTCATGTGCCCGACTCCCCTGCAGACAGCAGAGCTTCGAGTGGCCGAATCGAGTTCCCACTCGGTCGTCGTCGGCCACGAGACGGTTTGATATGGACGAGTTCCTGCTTTCGCCCCTCCTAGCTGGTCTTGGCGTGCTCCAGAGCGCTGTCTTCGGCAGCGGTCTCTTTCGGAACTGGAGTTCCCTCTCGCGGTTGGGAGCCCGTTAATCGGGCCAGAATCACAAACGAAGTGCCTCCGACGACATTGTTCAGACCGCGAATCACGAACACGAGCGTCTTAAACACACCGGCGGGCAGAGCTTTGGCCATGGCAAACTCGAGCCCATTGATGGATTGGTACCTGGCATTGCTGCTGATTCCCATGTGAAGAGCCCAGGTGGCTGCATTCAGAAGCGTCGGCGGAGAAGCGTTCTGAATTACGAAATCGGGATCCATCTTCTTTCTTGCGTTCAGCAGAGTGGTGGAGAGGAAGGTGCCCACGAGACCGGCGAGAAATCCTACCGCAGCGAACTGAGTGCCCTTGTAGACGAATGTGCCGAACCTGTCCTTCATTGAGTAGGCTCCCACCTCGAACATGTGACCAGTCGGAGAGTTGGCAAAAATCCCAGGAAGCTTCGAGGCGACGGCTCCCATGGCTGCAGTGGGAGCGAGCATGTACATCAAGGTGAAGTTCAAAATAGAACCCACGACGATGGTCGAAAAAACGAGATCGAGCTCATCCAGCCCGAAATTCGGCCTGGATGCCATGTCTCCCAAAACACAAGCACCGACTCCAATCACCTCCTCGGTCAGAACCTTGAAGGGAAATTGCGGATCGGCTTGCACTCTCGAGCGCCATCCGTTCAAAAAGGCGCTCAGAAATCCTCCACCTCCGATGCTGCTCCCGCCTTGGCCCGCTCCGCTGCTCTCGGATCCCCCGTGGCCATTGTCACCACCACCGCCTCCACCACCGCCACCTCCTCCTCGACCGCCACTGAACCCATTGCCACCGTCGCCTTCATCGATGAGAGGCTCGGTGTAAGAAATCCCAGGAACCGAAGACGCGGACGAAGAAGAAGCCGAAACCGAGGCCCCCACGAGCACAGAGGGACGATCCCTGCAGAGCTTACCGACCTTCGATCGCGAGAATCCGACCTCGCCCTCGACCGAGGACGATCGTCCTCGCGCAAGCCCGACAACCTTCCCGGCCTCCGTCACGAGCGATCTCCCTCCCGCCGCAGAGAGCAGGAGCGGCGAGCAGTCGAAGCTCCGACGCAGAGCGCTCCTGGTCGATCTCGGCCCCGCCGCCAGGCACATCGACGAGAGACTCGCCCCCATGCCGCACCCGGCCGCAGCCACATTCGCTGCCATGGTCATACCGGCGAAATTTCTATCCCCTCCTCGCGCGAGCAAGATCGAAGGCGCCACGGCCCCCGCACGCCACCACTCCTGCTGCAATCGCCCCCGTCCTCGCTCCGGCACGTCTCGCCCGACGACGCTGATAATGTCGCTCGCCTCGCTGCTGCGCCCCAACCCTCGTCCCCTTCCTCCTCCTCCTCCTCCTCCTCCTTCTGCAGCAGCAGCAGCAGCCAGGGGGACGAAGGGGAGCGTCGACGTAAGGGGCTGCTGCTGCTGCAGCCGCTGCCACACCGGTGGGCGGAAGGCGGCAGGGGCTTGAAGAGCGGGCGAGAAACGACAAAGATCGAGGGCGTGCGATTTCAACAGCGCGGGCAGCGTTGCGCCTCGACCCCGGCCCAGGCCCAGGCCCCGGCCAACCATCGCCGGCCCCGTGGTGTCGGCGCGGCGGAACTTTGTTCGGACAGGGCAGCGCGGTGCTCTGCGGTCAGAGGGAGGTACGCAGTCTGTATAGAGCAGCTGCAAGAGAGCAGCGCGGTCGAGCGAGAGAGAGAGCGAGCGAGCGAGCGTGGTCGCTGCACTGTTGTTCTCGTAGGGACGACGACTGTCCGGTCAAAGCTTTATACTGCGGCCAGTCGCCCACAACTGCACGAGCCCCGGGTTACTGCTTCGGGGTTCCGCTCCTCCACGTCATTTTCCTGCGAACCGATCTACCGGTTGAACCGGTTTCTCTCGTCGTGTGCAGTCTATAGGCGAGCGACAACTGTACAGGCCACGTGTGTCCTCGGCTGCACCGGTTAATGCTATAATGGCGATCCATATTAAATGGTGAAAAGTGAAACGGCTTATGTATTCGTGCACTTTTCAGGTCTTTTTCTGTCACTTTGGTGTGCGGCCTTTCCCCTTGTAAACACACACACACACACACGCGTAATCATGTTCCTTGCGAGGACTTGAGTTCACACCTATGTCAACAGGGAAATGTCAACAGATTTGCGAAGCTGGTGAAAATACCATTAAATATACATTCCTTATGTTCATGTATTCAACAATTTGAATGTCTTCCTTGTGGAGCTTCAAGACATATTAAAGACTCTAAAATGAGACGGACAGTGCTTTAAATCGTTACACTTGCTTCGAGCCCCATAGTCATGACTTGTTTTCATCTAAATATGAGGTGCAATATGAAGATCATGATCTTATGTTGGGTATGTTACCTACCAACAAAAACTCTTTAACCTTATGGGGACTCATGAACTACAAATTAAGAGAGAAGTAAAGATTTTACAGTGGCCTATAAAGCATGCAAGAATCTAACGTGGCATCCGCATTAAATTAATACTTAGAAATATATGCAATCATATAACGATGTAAGGAATCACATCTGAACAAGACTTTCAATTTAAAAAGTCGACCGCCGACGATATGAAGAAGGGTTTGAATTTGTTATGTACTGTATATTTATAGTTTTTTCAATGAACTTTAACAAATCGGAGATGTTTGATTTTGTACGATCATTCTAAACACGATTCGGAAGTAGAAATGTAAGATCGAGAATATTAAGAATATCCCTCGAGAATAATTAACATCAATCTAAATCTTATAAATCTCTCGAAGAAAATGAATTTGTGTGAACATACATCAACTAGTAGTTTGATATATGATTAAATATGATATCGAAAGGATGTTATTATTGCTACCCAGGGCATTCCTGGTAGTAGGTACCTTCGGCAAGGTGGTTATTCAAAGCATTAATAGATATGATTGTCTCTATTAATAGAACTTGATATTATTATGTAATTAAACTTAATTATTTTGCTACACGAATTTCAAAGTACATAGGTTTTCTGTAGGAAGCGTTACGCGTGTTCAATATAATGAAGTTATTTCCTTCTCTGGTAGAACAAACGTACAAAAAAATAAGGCTCATATAAAGAAGTTGTGAGCAATGATGGTCACAAATCCATGAAACTTGACCGACGTTGGAGTTTTTCCTAAAGAGGTTGCTCTCAAGTAGGAACCGGTATGTGTGCACATCCCATCTCTGATCACGTAATGATGGTGCTGCACTGTACATCTTATTCCATGCATTCACCATTGTCAAGTAGCCGCTGGAGTGCGGTTATTTCATCGACCTTCCATGGCGTTACTCAATGGTATTTCTCCAGAAACCTCTTCATTCATTCCCCATTCCCCTTTGAACCCAACATCAGAACACTTTCAGCTTGTGAAGCCAGACAGACAGACAGCAGATGTCAACAGTCCTGGTGTACAGCAAAGTGTAATCCTGGACTTCAACTAGTTCATAGTGGTATCAGTTGGAATTGATTAATCAAACTGCATCGGGAAGAAAATGACACACTACTGTAACCTCTGACGACCACGGTGCTGGGTTGTGGTCAATCAGAGGACTCGGCGGGTTTGGGGGGGATCGTCCACACTCTTGGTATTTGACCTCTCGGGTACTCGTCCCATCATGGACCCCGTACATCCCCCCTACCATGTGTAATATGTGGCGGCCCTGTCATAAATTTCCCTGACCGTCAAACGAGACTCGGAGAAGCAAATTTTACTTTCTCGCACCCCAGAGACTCTAGTAATTTCTTCCACATGCACCGATCGATCTAAGAGCCGGTCACCGCAGCGGTGTCAGAGTCAACCTCGTTCGGTACAAGAGTCCTGTGTAGAACATCACCCGCAGAGTCGGACGTTCACGAAGTTTATGTGCTCACCCAGTTGACTGAACCAGACGCATTTATATGGCGCCGTATTAAAGTAATAAACTATTAAACCCTTCTGGGGGCAGAGTTTACAGAAAGATATTCCGTCGACCTTACCTCACGATCGTCAAAGCTCGGGAATGATAACCGGTGCTGACCGGTGACTACAAGCTACTCCGAGCCTTTTGTGACGATGCTTTGCGAATCACAATTTTCTCGCCACCGGGAAACCGGCTGGTGCACAGGTCCATCGGAGCTAAAGGTTCTGGTCTCGCAGTCGATCGATCGACTTAGACTGCAGATGCTGAGCTTCTTGTGAAATGCCTGAAGTCACGATGCGCAGTGGAAGGTTCGAATTTGCCCCGAGCTTTTGGTCCGAGGGCGATTCATTTAGCGGCGAGAATTCGGAATCAAAGAGCGATCAGGGAAGAGAAAAATGTGTCAGATCGTCCTGAACGACATCGACTGCCTCCCTTGCACCCTCCTCGTCTTCTCTCCCTTCCACGACGCGGTGCAAGGCCCGGACTGCAGATCGCAGTCCGGCGGCCCTCCCTACCACGTAACACGGTGGCCACCTCGAGCCCTCGCGGTGCACCCGCTCCAAACCGCGTAAACCCTCTCGAACCACAAGAACACAGATCCGGTCTCAGGGGTAAGAGGAGGCGTTTCCCCCCGGTTTTGTGGGTCGGGGGTTTAGGGGGCGAGGAAGTGAAATTAGAAATTAGAGTTGTTTGGGGGGTGGGGGGTTATGGAAGAAGTTCTGACGAAGCCTGAGCGATAAATAGTAAGCAACGTAGCTTTTCCTCGTCCTGTCGTCATGCGGGGCTAAAGAGAGGAGGGCGCTGACGGTTTCTGAGAGTCATGGTGGAGGAGGGTTGGATTCATCCCCGGAAAAGCACACCGGTTGGCCATCCATGTCAAGCGAGAAATTGGTTCGATGTCCTCTTCCTGCTTCGGTATCGAACGCGAACGTAGGACCCGCCAGAATTTTGCGGAATGTGTGCAAGAGGCTAGCGAAGGGTGGATAGCAACTGCGAGGGGAGAGAGATGGACCGAGCTTCCCAGGAGCAATTCCACCCACTGTCTATGGATCCAGTGTGGACGACAAGGTTCTGTACAGTACAGCATTCAGTCAGAACGATGGCCGAGAGAGGGAGATCCAGGACGAGATCCGGTGCCCACGATCGAGTGCTTTGTCCACCGACGATGGCTGCCTGCCTGCCTGCCTCGGAAGAATGGACGGTGCAGGTGGCCGTCACGAAGGGAAAATACTTCCGTATGTGTCTTCCTGGAGAGGTAGCTGGGAATGGATGGCAGAATTGCAACAAAAGTATCTGCTCGGAGGCTGTCTTCCATGGGGGACAGTGAGCCCTGTCACAATCATAACCGTAAACGACAGCCAACTCAAGGAGGGAACTGGCGGCCGAAACTTGCGTTAGCTGGGGAGCTCAGTGCAGGCGCAGTTCAGTGCGGCAGTCATCGACTGTGAGCTGAAGGTTAGCTGAAAGTTCGACCAGGGATTGTCGGGTGCATACAGCTTGTGCGAGCGCGGCTTCGTGATGGAAGCGGTGGGGCAGAGGTGTCGATTTCCGCGGGAAGTTCTAGAGCTGTAATTACGAATGTGGAGTTAGAGTTCCGGGACCTTCGATTTTCGATGACATTTTCGAAATGTTTTTGAAGTTTCTGAAGAAAGCACCGGACTGCTCGATCGTTCAGAAGGTCTGCGCGGTGGTGTGAGGCTTTGAGCTCTCGTCCTCTCATGCACTTATGATCAGCAGTCAGCAAAGGACTGTGACTTGGCTTGACCATCGGAATTCGGCCGACGAGCTGTGATTGACTAAGGGCCTCGGTCTCTGGTTGTGGATGAAGGGAAGGGCCACATGGAGGATGGTCGTTCTGTGAAACAAGTATCGTGACCGTCAGAGTTTTCTGACTCGGACGAGACTTGTATCAGTGATCATTGGAAGCCTGTGATAGCAGCAGCGGGGACCCGTGGCTGGCAGCTGCTCGCTCGGAATTTGACTCCCAGTGTACCTTTTTCGCATGGAAAGGTCGAGCAGCACGATGGACGAGGAGGAGTGTTTCAAGGTGGCAGTGGTTGGAGGTGGACTGGCCGGCCTCTCAGCTGCGGAGGTTCTTTCATCCTCGACGATTTTCCGGAAGGAAGATGTTGTGGTTCTGGAGGCATCATCCAGCTTAGGAGGACGAATTCTAAGCGTGTCCGGCCTCGCTCCCTGGCCTGTGGAGGTTGTTTTCGACGTCCTCCGCGCACAAGTGCATTAATTGTCGTTTGATTTGCAAGAGTCTAAGTTCAAGCGTTGAGTATGGAAATGAAATGACATTTCTCGTTCTTGATCGTCTCCTCGTTTGCCGAATCTGATTCGAGATTCTTATGGAAGCTCTACTGAAGAAATCATGATTTTGTAAATCCTGGTTGTTGTTTAGTAGTAAGGAAGGCAGCATTGCAGTGGCCTTTTGTCGGTTCAATATCAATTACAAAGCCCTAAGATTTAATTTTTATAATTTGCAAACCTGAATTTAGTAAATCGTGTCCTAGTAAACCATATAGATCATGTCCTAAACCTTGGCCGGTCAAGTTCTGAATCTATAGCGTTGGTTTGTTTTATCTCAGATTGGACCAGAATTTTTACACGGAACTCAAAATTCTTCGATTAAGAAGCTAGTCGACGAAATGGGTTGCGTGCAGAGAGAACTGAATTTTCATATCCTTCCAATCTTGACATTTGGGCGTTGAAAATCTCGACAAGCTGAGTCAGGTTCAAAAGAGAACAAGTCCTCTACACAATTTGTAGATGCTCTGGAGTTTGTAGTGTTTGTAGAGACTTCGCAAAGGATGTACAAGTTTTGTGCCAGGTAAAGCATTGCTAAGGGCGAGATCAGTTGTCGAAAGGTTGATCCTTGGAACTCTCGAAAATTTCCTCAGTGTTCAAGCTTTGTCGAGGGCCCAAACCTCGTGGACCTAATTCGCTTTCGAATACTTCTCGGATCGCCAGTCAAAGTCTAGAGCAAGGCATTTTATTGAAGGACTGAACGCTAAGATCATCTCGTTAGTCTTGCAGCCGATTTAGCAGCCGTGTTGTTCGTGTGTGATATCGAGGGTGGTCGACAGTACTTGTAAACGATATCAATTGTCCAGTAAATATATTTTGTCTTTCAAGAAATATTTGCTGGTCATTAAGTAGGTGTAAGGACTTAGACTCGAATTTCAAACAACACTATTGGAATTCTTTGACCTGAATTCCTTCCACCGGATTACTATTATATCGGTCATGAAGGGCGTTTGCTGACAAGTGAGCAAGCTTCGGAGCACGCAGACATTGAAATGGTGCACGACTTATTCAAGGCTCTGATCGATGAAGACTCGACTCCAGAGGATATGAGCATGGCAGAATATTTACGAAAGAAAGGCGTAAGCTCGACGGTGATGAGCTTTGCAGAAGGTAACGTAGTTTCCCCTGTACTTCCTTAGGTAAGGTTGGAATTCCGTGCATGTCATTGTCCGCAATTCTATCATGAGTGCATCTGAACATCTTCAGTTCAATCTGATCCTGCCTGCGTGTATGTAACAGTTTCGTCTCCATGAGCTAGTTAGTGGACCTGAAGTTTTGTCTGCTCCACTGAAGAGCACATGCATCACATACGAAGTAAATTATCAATGTGCTCAGAAGTTGACTTGATGACTGATGGATGTATTTTCCTAAACTCCAGTTGCTTTACATCCTTCGTGCTGCAGCGATTTATGGAAACGATTTCGGTTGCTCGCTTGATAAGCTCGGTGTGCACGAGTGCATTCAGGAAGCTCATCAGTGGATCTACGGGGACACGTATATAATTCTGGATAGGCCTCTTTCATCCGTTGTCAACCACGTCGCTCGAAACCTTAATGTACAAGACGTTCTGAAATAGTGCTATAGTCCACGGTTTTTTATTCACATTTGACTGGAATTTACAGTAAGAATTTATGTATCATGAGGTTTGAAATGATACACCATGTACTGCTCTTTCAAAGATGAGTTTTCTGGGCTTTGTGACTGGTATCGCGTTGTAAACTGGTATGCTCGCTTCCAGATACGACTAGATTGGGCTGTGAAACAAGTTGAGCACCTGGAGGGTGGGAATTTTCGATTGCGCAGCCAGGATGGCCGAACCCTGAGAGCAGACTTCGTGATCCTTGCTGTTCCTGTGGTTAGTATGCACTGTTTTGCATCCAAGACTCAAATCATTACTCGAATATCTCCTATCAAGATTGATCCACGGATTTCATGTCTGGAAATGAGATTCTGAGCGTCATCTCGGCGGTTGAAGACCAGCTGATCGATGTATGTCTCGTGGTTTAATGGTTTTCGCAGACTACGCTGCAACAAAGCTTGATTACCTTCCACCCTCCTCTGCCCGAAGGCAAACTTCGAGCAGCTAAAGCAATTGGCATGTCCAATGTCATGAAGGTAACTCTTTGAAGATAGTCCCCACTTGACTAAGGCTTCAAATGATCAGCACGTAGATAGATCTTATTATCCATGGGACGAACAAAAGGAAGCATATGACCGTCTCACTGTATTATTGCAGGTTGTAATGGCGTTCACTCATCAATTTTGGCCCAAGGGCCTGTTCGATGTGGTCTGTTCAGACTGTTTTCTCCCGGAGGTGTGGATGACAGAGTATCCTGAAGCACCATCCGCTGCTGACAGCAACGGGGACGAGGGCTGTAAAAATCCTGGTCCTTTGGGCCAATACATTGTGGTAGGTTTCATTGCAGGAGATGGAGCAAGCAGGGCGGCCCAGCTGTCCGAAGAGGAGATTTTCCTACAATCCTTGACACAGCTTGATAGAATGTTCGGAAAATCTGATCATAGCTTTGCACTGGGCTCATCAGTTTGGCGGCAGCCGGCCAAGGCCGAAGCTTTCAATGCAACATCAACTGTGTCTGGGAGGGTTTTTCTCAAAGACGACGTTCTTGATCCCTCTGCCCTGACTTACCTCGCTGAGAGCCCTGAAACTCGTCCAGCATCCCATTGTTTCAGAGGTGGCATGATAGTGAACTGGGCAGATCGTCATTTCATTCGAGGGGGCTACTCTCACCCCTCTGTTAATGCCCGAGGTGCTAGATTAGAACTCGCCAAACCCGTAGGAAATATCTTCTTTGCAGGAGAAGCCACACACCCCGGTGTGAATCCATGTCTACAAGCTGCCATCGATACAGGAAGACGAGCTGCTCATGAGGTGTGGGGAACCTGCAGAAGGAGTTCATTGTGAAGTATTGCAATAAACACAATGTTCATCTCTTGTCTTCCATCTCTACTTTCTTCAGGCGTTTAGTGCGTCTAAGATGCCTGTTCAACCAGACCATTTCTCTTTGCTCCATATGTCTACTGACTTCACCTTCCTCTAGAACACTGCGTTGCCGAATACATCTCATCTGTACATGGAAGCTTTCACTCAAGGCAGGACCGAACTCAGTCGCCAGTTGAGAATTGTTAGAATCTTCAGCATATGGTTTGAAGCGCATGAAAGAAGAGCCAATTCTGTCTGGTTGCTCGCCTTGCCCAGCAAGATTCTCACAATGGCATGTACGTAATCAGCGCATCGCTCACGGAAAGTTTATCAATTCAGCGTTCTCTCAAATCAGGGACAACTCGCCAGGTCTCAATTGAATAGTGTCTTTATTGCTGTCCTAGGATATGGATGCATTTCACAGCTTTCACGATTCTACTGTACTTGATATTAGAAATATCTGTCAGAGCTCTGGTGCTTGTGTTTGGGCCTGGATGTCTTCAACCAGGGCAGTGCAGTGGATAGAATGCAAGTAACAACGAATTGTGCACACGCTGAAATAACACCTAGATGGCTGGGGTTTGTGGCGTGAAACAGCCACAAAAGAAGATGAAAAGAAAAGTCATCTCGGAGTGCTTTGATATGAAATTCGTGCGAAATGTGCTCTACGGCATCGATGACTTTGGTACGTCATTGCCTCATACTGTCGAAAATCAGATTCTTGACAGTGAGCAACGCATTGCCAACAGCAGAAAAAGCATCTTCCATGCTTGTTTTCTGTTTTGGAACAAGCATACCATTCCCAACAGAAGCAATGCTCGTCGTCGTGTTGCTGCCAGCTGAGGATGGCAAATCGAGTCAACCTTAAGACTCGTACAGGCGACAACGAAGTCAAGGCGCTCGAGAGTAACGAGGATGGGAAGTTCGGTTATTCACAGGCTAAAAAACATCTTCAGACAATGCAAAGCTTTGACTGAGTGCCTAACAACCGCAACTGCCAAAGCGCAACAACAAGGGCAACCAAAGTGGCGAACGATGGATCCAGCACAAGTGCCAAACTTCAGACGGAATCAGCGTAAGCGATAAAGAGCAGAAGAATTGAAATTCATAAGACCGGGAAACTAACAAATTGCTGAAGCGCGCAAGTGAAGTAGTGCTGAAGTTTGAAAGACCTGAAACAGCCAAATCCTCGATACAGACCAAGTGCTAGATCGCCGAAGGACGGATGCAGTCGAGCTGTTGAATAATCCGAACAGCCAAATCATTAAAACAAGCGAAGTTCCGAAGAATGGACGCAACTGAAGCCCACAAACTGTCAAAGAGCTGAAGTGTGGAAGCACCGAGATTCCAACTAACGAAGACAATCAAATCGCGGAAACAGCCGAACTATCGAAGATTGTAATAGCCACGGAGCAGAATTGCCGATTCATTGATGCTGCAAGGAACAAAATCAACCAAAGTGCAAAAGGATTTAAAAACTGAAGAGTGAAAGAGATATACCAAAAGCGGAAAATCAACAAAAATGAGAAAGCGTAACGAGAACCAGAATATTAGTGACTAATAAGAACGATGCTGATTAATACAAGGTGGGGGCACAAGAGTGGTGGAGAAGACAAACGTTCAGAATGTTAGTCTACATATATACCTATTGACAATCAATCTCAACAAACTCGGAACAAAACATAAAATGTGTTTCACTACTCTGTCCATTACCTCATTCACAACTAGATGTGAAGCACTCTCATTTCCCACAGAAGATATATAATGTCATGAATTAAACCTGTCCAACCAAGTAAGTGAAATAAAATGTCACATATTAGAACAATAGGTTAGATTTTGATCTTGTTTTTGACCGTATAGTGGACTACATCAAGTCGTCTACTTACTAAGTAGATGCATTATAGGCAATATGTGGATTATTGTATGCTTAAGTTGTAAATGCATTGCCGAAATGTGTAGTTCACTTTCCTAAAAGATTGAGTTTGTAGCAACAATGGAGGCAGCAAAGAAGATTAATCGGTTGGATAGGCTTAAATATCATGTGTTTCTCAGAGTCAAAAATATTCATTTGATCTGAATTGACATCAAATAAAGTCATTAGTACAAAAAACAAAAAAATTTGTCACATACTTAGTAGGTACAATTTAACTCTTATTTCAATTCACACTTTTTAAGGTGAACATTCTTTAAACATTAATCTAGACTTAGAAAGTTTTTGTACTTCTATAGATTTATTTGATCTTCATCAATTTTATATTCTATAAAAAAATTACGAAATTGTCGTAAATGAATAATTGCATTTTTTCTCATTTTTGTTATTAAACTCAATATATAGGAAAAACTTGAATCCCACTATACTGTATAAAGAAGTTCAATTTGTTCTTAGATCAAAAATTTACCTCCATCGTCTGAAAAACACATCAACAGTTTATAATTGAGTTTTCACAATTTATAACACATCAAAAAGATATTATTATTGATCATTTTCCTTGATTTTCATGTTCTTTCACACTCCTATGTTTATTCAACTCAATAAACTTGATGCATTGTAAAAATGTCTTCCTGCGATTAAAAATATAAGTATCATAATGTGACATGAAAAAATTAAAAACAAAATTTGGTATAAGATTTTTTAAATTTTTAAATTTTCAGTTGATGATCAAGACTAATTGAACAGAGTATTTACACTACCAATCAACTTACATGCAAAGTTATATTAAAAGTAGATCAAGGTTGCAAGCTCTTCATAGAAGCAAAGGTGATTGATAGCTATGTAATAGATATATAAACTCAAAATGAAATTTTTTATTGATCTTGAAGCAATAAAAAATTTTCTATCGTAAATTGTTGTCATAAAGTTGTAAATCAAGTCACTGAAGAATTTGAGTGAAAAACTGAAGATCACCAAAGAAAATTAACCAATCGAATCATTGCCATGAATTGCAAAATTAGTCGTAAATCAGTTTACAAGAATTTTAATATAAGCATAATTTGTAAGTTTGACATGAACTCATTTTGTAATTGATATGGATGGAAAAGTAGTATCAACAGTTTGAATGTACAATAAATGATGAGAAATTTACAGATATAAAATCAGCTTTAAAACAAAAGCTTGGCAATGTTATTTTTTGTAAGATAAAAAAATTATAATCTAAAGAAAAAAATGTATTTATTGATGCTAAGAAAATGTGTAATTGATTTAAAGATACTATTTACATTCAAGAATCAAAGAGCAATAATCTTTATGTATTGCAAGCATGTATTGAGATTGTTGGATTGTTGATATTGGATCTTGTTGCAAGACTGTGATTCAAATGATTTGTAGATAAAATAATTAAAATGATAATGGGAAGCACACAAACTTTATACTGTTGGGTACCAAACAAATTAAAATATTGCGAAGCTGAAGTGTAGTAGACGTTAAGGTTGATAATACATTTTCATTTTATTTTTTATCTATTTATGTAAGACTCTTGTCATTTAAATGAAGTTCATAGTTAAATATAGAATGAAAGTGTATAGTCTACAACTCAATATTGAACTTTAGATCATCCCAGGGATATTAAAATCAAAATTGTCTGAGCTTTTCGAACTTTCAATTTTATTTTCACATGTAATAATATATTTCTACTTTAGTAATATTCAGAGTACTAAATTCAAGGTTCAGGTGTTTATAGTGAACTACATGCATTCTGATTTAATTAAAAGATAAACATAAATGTTATGGTCTTAAGTAATATACTTGAGATCTTCTGCACGGAAGTCGATAGTGATTGGAATTACAAACTTTAAGAGCAGATGCAAAGAAGCAGCCTGGACAACCAAACATGAGTTTGTTGACCGGAACAACGAAACTTTGGAGGTACGTTTTCCAGCATAACAGATATGAGAAGAAGAATCTTCATGCTCTGAAAGTCCAAAAAATGTGACCCTTTTCAGACACTTCGCATAAAAAGGGATTCCGACATCTCTGCCTTTAGTGCAAAAATCAAGTATAAGATGATCTACTGCCAACTGCTTCGCGACTGAAAGTACCTCTTGTAAAGCTGCTGAGTCCAGTGCTGACGCCACTTCCGTCGTGATCCTCACTAGGCTCGAATATAAGCACAGTGTCAAAGTGTGCGGGAATTACGTATCGAAATGCATGTTGTCGTACTCTCTATACTTGTACAATATTGTAAGGTACCATTCCATTCATAGGTATTTTGGTACCAGTAGATAAAGTAAACTTCTATGAACTTGAATCTAAGACGGTATTTATTTTTTCATATGTCTAATTACAATTGCCATCAACACTTAAAACTTGTCATATATGAATGAGGACACGATCCACGTTCATATAGTGCAACACTTTGTCAACTTCATCGGATGCGTTACTAAGACACTTTTCATGAAAATATGTGTTTTCGATCATTTTGAATCCGGCTGTTTACCAGTGTAATATTACAGTAATGTTGAGCATCTCTTCTTGCTACTGTAACTCAGTTCCAAAGGCGTCATTCTTCAACCTCGGTACTCATTGAAACTTAAAACTTAGAGTGGACTTGCCAATTGCTGGATTCTATATATTATTTTATTATTCGTCAAGCCCGACTTGTGAGCGGGTCGCATACTTACAGTACAACAAAGAGCAGCTTGAAACTCGAATTCTTGATCTACAACTTCAAATTTGGAAAATTACTAAATTCTTCACTCAAACCTTGATTTATAACACGATTTAATAATTTAAATTATATTCTACCAAATTCAGGGAGTAAAAATATCCATATTTTCCTCTAAAGTGTCATTGGAGTGTATTTTATCAAATTTTTTTAAATAAAATTTGAATACTTTAAAAATAATCAAGATGTCTTGAATGTTGAAATAATACACATTGAAGGCAGTCCCGAAAGTGTTGGACGACGAGGCGGTGGAAAAGGAAGTGAGGTGCGCGTGGCATGGTGACAGGCGGGCAGGTCGCCAAAGGCAGGCACGCGGAATCGGGATCGGAGCGGAGGGAGGGACGCAGCTCTGATTTATGAGGCCGATGGGTCGGCGTCGAAGAGCAGAGCAGTGGCGCGCGTTCGCAATGGAGTGCAGTGAAAGCTCGAGAAAGATGAGGAGCGAGGTGGCGGACGAGGACGAGGACGAGCAGCGGATCTGAGGATGAGGAGTTCGCCGCCGCTCACTTGCTCGAACCTCGCGATCTGAATCGGGGTTCGATATTTTTGGGGGCTTCGTTGCTTTCTTGCTGTTTGTGCTTCCGAGAAGTTGCCGCTTCTTTTCTTGTTATCGTCAAGAGAATGAACGAGTGTTGTGCGATGTAAAAATTCTGTAATGGAGTTCTACGTCGTCAGTGAGTTTTTTTCTACATCGAGTTAGCTAATCGCGCGAGCTAATTATAGCTCGCGGTTCTCTTGTCGCCCACTCACCGACTGCGTGTCACGACGACCACAAGCAACAGCGAGAGTTTATAATAGTGTATTTATGATATTTTAGGAAACTTCTTTGACGGGTGTCTTCAGATGAGGTTCGTCTGTTGATATATCAACAGAACTTTTCAAGAACATAAGTACATATCCTGTAGATATCAAGCAGATCAGTGCAAACTATCAAATATAAACAGGTCATGTACAAGGCTGACATAAGACAATAGTGGAGAGCTGACCACTCAAATGAAATGACTGATGAAATGGTTTCTAACGTACATTGCTGGGAGATCTGGTAGATTTATGATTTATGACTGCTTTTGCGATATTTGTCTGCGTTCACGTATGTCCGAAGAGTATCGATTATGCTAAGGACAACTACCAGGGATATCTATCTTCAAAACATGATAGATCTGTCGATGCGAACAAAGGGAAGTGTCGCTGATTTCTAATTTGAGACGATCACCTCCTTTTTACTGTAAGTTTTTAGTCAGAAGGAGGTGATTGTCTTTTCCTTGCGTTGGCTGTAGTTTGTAATGTCGTGTAGGACGCGGAAGACGATGGCCACTAAGCCCACTACAATGCTGATGAATACTGAACAGACTAAGAAATTCGTGTGTCTTTCTTGGCCTCGTGTTCTTTGTAGGTGATCATCCAGCAATTCAAGGTTTAGGTGAAGAGATTTTGTGTTAATCAATTGGGGTCCATTTCAATGAAGGCTGTCCCAAGCGGTGGAGATTTTGGATGCCATAAGGATTCTATTTGAACATGTTATTTTTGCCTTCAGTGTAATGTACCTCGATTGGTCAACACAGAATAATTCATGTCTTAATGCAAAAGATTTCGTCTCATCTGAATTAGTCTCATCTGATTTCGTCTCATCTGAACTACTTTGATTACAAACAGGCTGATGAAAGTCTTGTGTGGATGTGCTGCAATGAGTAGTGTCCGTGTTGGATGCACTTGACATTCACTCTCAATGAGGATCCCCTCCGATTGTTTGTATTGGGTACATATCCTGCTTTGGTCCACTTGCTGCTTGGAACAACAGCCGGACGTTATCTTGAAACGAGATTTGTCACAAATAGGGCGGTGCACAATCTAATCCATCATAGTACAATAATTCACTCCTCACTCTACCTATGATAGGAGGGAAGTTAAAAGTATGTGATCTGGAACATATCTTATTGATACAGCTGATGTGTTTGCAGTGTCTGTCTCAAAAGGTTGGAACAGTCTCGCATGTTGTGAAGTGTGTGAGGTATGCACAATTATGAGCACAACAACAGTGAGCACCTCTATAGATGACGCTTGCTATTTGCGTCTGTTTGAGCCAACTGGTACTTTATGCAATCAGGACCAGCTGATAGTTGGTGTTGTGTTGAAGATACCAACATTAGATCTTGGTTTGGAAATGATTTAATCCATCTGACTGTAAGGAATATCAGTTGGCTTGCTGCATTACTTACAATTTTATTCTGGATCCTTTATTTCGCTTAAATTCTTTACACGTATGTACATTACAGCTCTTACAATCTCAATTATTGTAATAGGCATATTTGACCCTACATTTTTAGCAACAGCAATATAATATCACCAATATTTACATATATCCGACGATCCGAATTATATCCTCGGATTCGATGTGTTGTTTGGTTGTTGTCTATCATGTTAACTCATTCGGTTCTTGGTATGAAGTTGTCTTTCTAGTCGAAAATGAACTCTTGAGAGTGTGTGGACCTCATGTGGACCGTTGTTTATTTCAACTTGTGGGTCAGTTACAACGTTCTGCAAATGGTTGATACAAGTCACTATGTCATGCTGTGCGACTCATGTGAGTTGACCACGTTGATTACACTTGCTATTAAACATGTGATTACTGGAACTCTCTCTCCCTTCCGATTGGGGTTCTTTGCAAGCAAGACTGTGATTTCGGCTAAGTTTCTGGTCAAATTGCTTTCGAATGTGAAGGTTTATTTTGTAACGTGAGTTTCCTCTGAAGCTGCTTTTCTTTATTCATTGGATTATTTCAACATTGTTCTTTAGAGTCGTAATTATATGCAGACGTTGATGAAGTGAGATTAAAACTTCAAAGAAAGTCTTATTTTCTTCTCTATTTACTCTAATAGTTTACAATTTTTTCTTTTGAATAACTTGTTCCATTGTGATATGCGTCAACCAGCTGGGTTCGTTGCAATCAAAGTTCCACATCAAGGCATCAGCTGCAGATATTCGAGAATTTGCGCACAGCAAATCAATATATCATCCCTTTGATTGCAATGGACCTAAGTTGGTTGACACATATCACTCGGGTCATTTGTTGATTTGGTGATTTCTGTCAACCAATTGGTGTTTATGGCCATTATGTCAGGTGTCTCCAGATAAATCACAAGATTCTCTTTCGAGCGCTCAACTATTTGAGGTTTGCCTTAATTTCGTTGATTTCAAGGCGATGGAGGGCCTCAACTTTAACTGCGCATAATTTAATCATTTGTTTGACGAATGTGGATACTGACAGGTCGGCTGAGTTAGTGGTCTTGAAGTATCGTGATGGTCCATGAAGAATCTTTTTTGTGATCTCATTTACTGATTGTTCCAGGGTGATTTGAGTCAACCAGTCTTTGGTTCGTTGCAATTAGGGTTAAGCAATCGTTAGGAGATTTTTAGGATCCAAAATCTCCATGGACTGCAAAAAGGTTGTTTTTGTAACTCAACTTCATATTTCTCTTCGACTTCGATGTACCCTTTGTTTTAAAGACAAGACGTGGATGTTTCTTACTCTGTTCAGTGATTTGGATCAACTTGAGGTTAATGTAGTTCAATGGAGGAACATATTAGTAATGTGAGACTTGCACACTCCAGTGTTATTCAAGTGTTTCTCAGTTGTATTCCTCTTCCTCCTTTCGACATACTGCTTCTTGCATTGTGATCTTAGTCCATCAATTCGGATTCCTTGCAATCAATGCGAATCGTAGAATGCAGCTGAAACCTTACTAGATGTAAACAAGTCATTTTTGCCCTAGACTCAATGCGAATCGTAGAATGCAGCTGAAACCTTACTAGATGTAAACAAGTCATTTTTGCCCTAGACTGCAACTATCTTGACTCGGTTGACGCAGATTCTGTGAGTTGAGTTTGTCAGGCAGGTCTCTTATAAATAACCTGCGTAGAGCATTTAACGAGAGAGGTTTAACGACTATTCGTTCAGTTTTCCGTAAGGTTTCCGAACGTTTGAGCGGATCGTTCGGGATGACTTGCACATCTCTTACAACAGAGGTCAGTGAAGGAAAGATGGAGTTGAGTTAGCGTTAAGCCTTTACTGATTGTTTTCTTTATGAAATAGCTTTTTGTGATCAGGTTACATTGTTCATTGGTGCTTCGCTTATTGTTTGGCTTCATTGTTCCCAAACTTGGCTAGTTAGTCAATTCTGTCTTTTTGTATTGCCTAGTGTAAGTTGCCTAGTTGTGTTTTTGACTTGCATAAAGTCATGGCAGCAAGAGCTGTTGTGGACTTGGGTTGACTACGTGCTTTCCCTTATGCTGTGCCTCCGGTTACTTGAAAGATCATTTCTCAGCGGCTTAAGATGGAATCTACAATATAAGGTTACGGAGAAGAAGCTCAGACTGTGTGTGAAGTCAGGACTTTTCCACCATACAATTCACCCTAGGCTACGGTGTGGAAACGCTAACATCACTCGTAGCGGGAGAGTTTTTCGGTAATTATTTACAACATTCTAATAAATCATTATAAATTGCCGCGATTATGTTCCCTTATGTCTCGGAATACATAAATATTATGTGTTGCGAGATTGAAGTTAACATAATCGCAGAAATTTAGTAATCAAATTATTAAAAATACAGGAAAATGAGGGAAATTCCAAATTATCTCCTCTCCACAACAAACCTTGATTATTGAAAGCAAGTCTTCATAACCATGATGATCAAGGGGAGAAAGTTAATTACCGATGGTTTTGAAGCTTATCACTCTTCGACTATTGATACTGTTCCGAATCAGTCCTCTGCTATAACTTTGGGCAAATGCAGTAGGCTTACATTGTCATTCCTTTCCTTCACAGTATGGTGGATATTCTGACTGCAGTGGTTCAGTTAACATCCACATTTTTCTTTTGGTCAGATGTATCCACCTGAACTCCTTGTCACTGTAGATGCCGACTTTATTTGTTAACTTTAATTCGGTTTTGGAATGAATGAAAAATTTATCTTGGTGACAGTCCTGTAACCCGCGATGATCACCAGGTCCGGGGCTGAAAACCATACGAACTTGTCAATCCTCAAGACACAAGTCAAGAAAATTGCATGATCATTTAAACTCTTATAATCACGTTATGTTCATCGACATCGATAAATTCTGATGATTACATAGATAGACAGAAGTCACGGGGACCCTTCTACAACTTTTTACGTAACTTGTATCCCCCTTTCGTGGTTATTATAATTGTTTCAATCTACTATGATCGAGTTTAAGTGGTCTTCTCTCCCTCAGATCATTCGCTCAAGTGCTAAACAGTTAGTTTTGGTGTTTGTGTAAGGTCATGGCGATCAATCCACATGTGTATATTGTGAAACTCTGTATTTTGCATATCTTTACGTAAAATAATATGTTACACGCTACATTCCGCGTGAGTGTATCTACTTTGTTCTGAATCCATTTCTTAACTCTCACCTTACATCTTTGATAGCAATCGCTCATCGTTGAGTGGATAAGATTACTTATTATCCATCAAATTATATAAAATATCTGCGGACTAAGTTATTTTTGGATTTTATTCCACTTACTTCTGTATTGGTGTATATGTGTATACAAGGGTCAGATTTATGTGAATAAGTGGAAAAAATAAGACACACCGACTACCAGAAGCAGGAACCTTCGTACTCGGAATACATCATATCCATGCTGATTACTACATTACTCTTTCTCCAACCTTATAAACTCTGGTGCCACAATAGTGTCTCGTACCTTTTCTATTGATCCTAATCTATTTGTGGTTTTTCTTAACCAGAAAATGGAAGAATTTCCAATCCAAATGAACAATTTGTAATTGTCTTCATAACTTTCACGTTCTCCTTCCTTCCCTCCCTCCTTGCGAGACAGATAATCAATTTGGAGAATTGCACTGACAGCATGGTGACAAAACACAGCATGTAGAATTTGTATAGTGTGAGGCTTAGATATATCGTTGATCCAATCTATTTAATAAGAGATTACAAAGGTATCAACTGACGGCGATAGATTTTCTGTTTTCAACTGAAGGAGGAAGAGATATATTACATAGGATGGTAGGAGACAATTTTTTTCACAACTTTTTACATGCGTCAGTTTCAGATCTTGTTGTTTTCCCCCTTGCAGACTGCGCCAATTCGAAGTCGGATATACGCGTGAACTCCTTATATATGCAATTTACGATCAAACGTTACACTTTGTATGGTTCATTGTAATTGCCTGAATAATTGTCTTTACGTAGTGAGAAAATTGAGAAATTTAAACTACATATAGATACTGTCTGATCTATAAATACTGTCTGAGTCTGATCTATTCAGAACTAAAGTTGGAGCTTACCTAAATATTCAAGTTGATGGTGCTGTAGTCACATAAGCTCTCCCTGTCCTTAATTTACTTTCGTTGTTATTGTACTCCTCTATTAGCTCTTCCAACAAAATCTACACTTGGTCTCTCTGTCACTACGGATCGAGTTTTTAATAACGACCCTAAATGAGGAATTTGATCACATTTCGTGGTGTTTTACCGTTCTCCTTCATTTGTTTCTTAACAGACCCCGACAATAAACTACGTAGGAATCATGTGGTGACAGTTGGCAACCTATCATCATCATACAGATTTACTTTCATGACGACAGTCGAATTTGTCAGTTCTTGTCAAAATGGTCTAGTAACCTTCCAAAGGCACCACATGAAAGCTAACAAAAGATTTGCTCTGGTCTATGGAATCTGTGATGATAAGAAAAAGCCAGACAATCTAAGTTTGAATTGAATGTTGAATAGTTGAAAGTCATCGGTGACGAGAACTACATGGAGAGAGCAAATCGATAGAGGATCATGGACAAGAGGACCATTAGTATGGATCCTAGTTGACAATTAGGTTTTCTGGAAAGGTAAGGAATAAACGATATGTACACGATTCCGAATCTGTATTCAATTCAGTTCTAATTGTACAACGAAAATGCTCGAATGTGTGGATCAATTATACAAATCAGACCACCTTTAATGGGAATCCGTGTATTATACTGCTGTATGTGGAGCAGTGGATAGACGTCCACTATGGAGCTATGATAGATATGTACTGCATTATCTTTGGTGTCGAGTAAAGGATGTGAAGGTAAACCGGTAGAAACATCCGGCCCGCATATAGGAAAGATGGTGAAATGTTCTTGATCTTAATAGAACGTGAAGCAAATCAATGGATATACAAAAAAATGGTTTAATATCTGGCATGATAACCCAAGATTTCAAAACCAACGTTGTACCTGTTTCATATGCTGCTACATCCCTCGAACATCCCCACCATATCAAGGTACACTTGCTAGTTCACAACTATTTTTGTAGTTATATTTTGCATCATAAGTCAACCAAAGTGAACTCCTATAACAAAGTTACCAACTAAAACTACACAAGATGAATTACAACATACGGAGTTTTTCCAAATATGTCAAAACAAAAAATAGAGTTCCGTCTATTAAAATTGTCAGTGAGAATTATTTTTTTGGATACTTTCGGTCTCACGGTCATGAGGGCTTCACACTAAGAAACTCATCATCCAGATACACGATCATGGCAAAATGTTGTAGTTTGTTTACTGATGTGTCGAGTTCATACGAGTAAACGAAGTAACAACTAAATTGTATATTGGAGTTAGTCACAAACAAGCCCTTCGAAGGCTCTGCTGCTTAGGACCAGATTTTACTCGACTTCTTTCAAGCCATTAGTAGCACTTCTGCACCCTACTACTCATGATTAAAACCTGCATATTCCTTTAAATAAAATTTGGGGAAAGAAAATTTGTCTTTTTGTTTGCTTCGTTTCATTGTTAAGTCGTTGTAACACTTAGTGATAATGGAACGTCCACGCGTGAGTGCTCAGTTTGACCTGGTAACAACGATAGAGGTTACAGCTTTTTCAGAACAAGTGCATCATTCATACATTGTTCACCATGTTCTTCATCGTGTATGTTGTGGCCCAACTCCTTATGCATGCCTATAATTACAGAGGGATCATCAAGCACCCGAGAGATTTTATGGAAAAATGGGAACTAGAGAGAAATACTAGGGGCTAAAGACAAAGAAAATTCTGAAAAGAATCCAATTTAGAATCCTTATGACCCTGAGTTTTAAAGGCACCAAGAGCCTTAATCTTTGAGCAGAAAATGTTTCGAACTCATCAATTTTTGACTTGAACTATGTGTAAACTTCTGAAGCTCAAACATTGAGGCTAGTTGTCCACCAGAATGGTAGGGGAGTGGGAGGGGATTGTTTCTACTCGATGCATACAACTGGCTACGCATGCTCATTGTCTGAACTCTTTGAGTCTGTCAAAAAGTTGACAAAACCAACCGTTTTATTCAGGCAAGGAGAAGGACAAATTTAGGTTTGCAAGAGTTTAAAACCATCACCTTACTTACTGTGCCGGTGTGGTATTTGACAGATCCAACTCAAACTGTGATGCAAGATCAGTCCTGATCACGCAAGCATTACAGATACAGACATAAGTCTGCCACCTTCCTATTCTCTCGACTGCTTTGTAAAAAGAGCACTATTATGTGCTGTCTTGGAAACTTCTGTCTGTAACGACCTCAATTGTGCACTCAGAGTGCAAATCTGTTTCCGTATCTCAACAACTCGCTTCTAGTCACCATCGTACCCGTTTCGTGTCTTCGGTGTACGAAGTGATGGGGTCTTCCCAGCCTTTCTGCAACATTATCTGGTTTCACATGTTGATAATAATAATAAAAACCAAAATGACCATCTGGAGTGAAAGTTCACTCTGGAGTACCCTTCACCAAAAGATTACACACAACAAAAATCATGAACCTGATCGAAACAAACCAGCAACACCTGCAGATGTGGAACTTGTGGAGACCTGGACTGAGAAGGCCTGAGTAGACTGTTGCGAGTCCTGCAGAAGGATTGAAGCCGTAGGAAACCCAAAAGATCTGGATCGGGTTGTTGGTCTGGAATGTGAGAACTGATGTCTATCTTCTACTACAGTAGAAGGTGAGTCGTGTCCTAGATGTGGACCAAAGCATGGACCGAATTGAGCCAAAGCTGCTTATTGACCTTTATTACCAGTGGGCTATGGGCTAAATCACAATAAGTAGACATCTGACAAGGCTTCTGTTACTGTCTCAGGGCCAGCTGATGAGAGACATTTGTTCTAGACATGGCGTTCTTTCTCTCGAAACGTACGTTCAGACTACAACAAGACCCCGTTGTAGACCTTTTGGTCGGTTCTTTTGCCTTCTCTTTTGTGGTCTTGCTTTGCTAGCGCTGCTCGCCAATATCATACGTCGCCGAATTTTCGTCTCCTTCTATGGATCCTATATCTTTTCTTTTCCTATCCCTCGCATCTCGTGTCCCTAGGCACGCCATGGCTAGCTTTCGGGATATTTCTTTCCACAGAGAGATGGCTCCTTCCTCAGGTTCTACAACGTACTCACTGGAGTCTTCTGGTTGCCGAGTCTGGTGCTCGCCTCATCGGGCTCTTTTCAGCGACGTTTCATTTTATCAGTGGATATCACTGTCATGCATAGTACAGGCATGGGAGTGCCAGCATCATAGATTTGTGAAGCTGATAAGAATCAGGTGAATTTTATATAGCAATAAACGGATTATCTTTGAAACGGCTCATAGGTGTGGGATCAGGTTATACTTTATGCTGATATGAATTAGATTATGATCTGTAGTCATCTGTCGTGCTCCCCAGCTGGTAATACAGACTACGGAGTCTTTAGATTGTCTTCCAGTAAAGTTGAACAAACTAATGATTTGAATACGAGAAGGAAGGATAATAAAGTAAGTTTAGTACGAGAGTGATTGCGCAATTGCTTTGCATTTCTCATCTTCCAAAAATAATAATGGTGGCTGGCATTATTATCATCTGGGTGTAATACTGTAGTTTAATATATCTTCTGACATGAACTATTCCATTCGGGGGGAGCTTTCATGGCTCCAGGAAACATGGCTGGATGAAGTTTCTCAGAAACAGTACGAGAAGAGAAAAGCAGGCACAGGAAACATGAAATGGAGTTCCGCGAACTTACGTGCCTTTCTGCATGCCTCGCGGTAACTGCAGTACGGAGCATCTGAAAAAATCCGAGCAGTCATGCTGCAGATCACTGTTGCAATGGAGGCGAGTGAATGATTGATCGATCGATCAATTCCTTCTCAGCTCTCTCATCTCTCATCCCCATTACCGATGCGATACCTTCCTCTGCTGAGCTGAGCTCAGCTCAGCTCAGCGCTTCTCTCGTCGTAAGAAGAAAGGATGAACAGTGAGCCTCCTCCTCCTCCTCCTCCTCTCCCTCCCTTCGAGCACTTTACGACAAGACGCAATAATTTATCGCCTCTAGATGCAGATGTAGAAACACTCTACTGTACTGTACTCTGAACCCCTGGAATCTGAGTCCAGAATCTCGGAAGAATCAGGCTGCAGCAGAACTCTGTATTCAAGTGATTCCTCTGTTCATGAGGGAGGGAGGGAAGGAGGGGACGAAGGAAGGGGACGGGGAAGAGATGGCTTCCGGTTGGACCTGTTCGTCTGCTGAGATGGCAAGGACAGTCAGTCATGGAAAGACCTCGTCCACTTAGAAGCAGCAGAGGACATGGCAACGCTTTGCCGTAGTACTCTTCAGCCCTGGGGTCAACGAGTCCTGGGGGATTCAGCTGCCCCGGGAGGAAGTCCCAGACTCCTGTAGTCAAAGCGATTACTCCATGCTCACTCCATCAACACTCCAGTGACTAACCTGCTCCACATTCATTAACTTACCTCAACAAGAGAGGGAATAGGAACAATCCTCTGCGCTCGAGTCGTGTGGGCGGGCAGGAAGCGCACGCGATCCGAATGCCTCATCAGCTTAAAGCAGGAAACACCGCAACGCTTTAATGTGCTCTGAAAACCCGTTCCGAGCTCAGAACGATTCGATGTGAGCTACTGCAGCTCCCTCCGTGCTGATGTAATCAAGAGATTATTCCATGTCCCACCAACCGACTCCCTTGCCTCACTTACCTCCCTCCCTCTTCGTTAACCCCGAGGAAAGCAAGATGCAATGCGTAAGGAGGTGATTGTGTGTTCAAATGAGATGAGATGCGCAGGGACCGGGAGATGACGAGTGAAATGACTCGTCAGGTAAAGCAGAGGAAGACACTCGAGCACTTTACTGCTCTGGTATGCTGAGACCTTGCAGTGGACCCAAGTGGCGTGGATCGTGGACGGACTCTGCATCATCAGAGGATAGATCGCACTGTTCAGCAGCATAAGAAACCGCCAAAATCCCCGGAACAGGAGAGGAGGCAGTTAGATAGAGGCCCGTGCTTTTATTCTTTCGGTGATTACAGTCGACAAACTTATTGACTCGGGACTCCATGTTTCTGCCTATTGTTTATGGCCGCAAGTTAATGCAACAGAAGAAAAGGTAGAGTGTCCGTCAAGATTTCTCAGTGGAGCACATGAAATTTGAAATGGAATTCGGTGTCCCGCATTCTAATGGTCCGAGGTGCTATCATATGATCTTAATGGTCTAAAGTATCTCCTCACAACGAACATTTACACCGACGAAAAGCTTGCCTCGACACTTTTAAGACGAATTGAAGGAAGGGGCGGACGGAGGAAGGAATGTGATCCGTAGATGGAGGCGAGCATTGTGGGAACTACTCGATTGGGTTCAGTTTGTAAGGTGATCTGATCCGCTTTTCGGTGTCGTAAGAATCTATGATCGGTCACCAAGTCTGAGATTAAAAGAGTCGCTGCAAATTCATCGACGAATGTGGTCGGTTAAGACAGGGCTTCGAGCGTTAAATACTGCCTTAACCTGCATCATCATCATTGGACTTGTACATAAGATAGATCAGCGAGATTGCAACAGTGCTCGGCTTCCATGAAGAGCTTTCTCTCAGTAGCAGTCAGTCAGTAAGTACGTACGTACTCGGAAAAGTCCACCTTTGGTACAAGGCACCAACGATTGATCTTCTTCTGCAGCAGTGATCAAGATCACCTTTCAAAGGCATGGATGGATCTTGTCCCTGTAGAGGTGGAATACTTTATTTCCTGGAGTGAAGGGAGGCAAGGAGGGAGGCAGGGAGGCCCTGAATCTCACCCGAAGAGTGGGGGTGAGAGAGAGCCACCAGAGAGTAGTCCAATCCCCACTCGAAGGCTTGGAAAATATCGGCACTTGGCCCGAGAGATTGGATTTCCGTGCCCTTCAATGACGTACATTTGAAGTTTGTAATACCGTTCACAATACTCTGCTGCCCTGTACCTCCTGAATCCCTGAGCCCTGCCTGTCGATTCAGCAGCTTGTTCGTTCAACGACTTGCTGCTGCTGCTGCTGCTGCTACTGATCCTACTACTGCTGTAGCTCACAGGGCCGATCCGACAGATGAGATCATGCGCACAATGCTCACAGAAACATCGGCGCTTGAATCGAGAGATCGGCACTGGACTAAGTACAAGTCTCTACAATGAACCTCAGAGAATACGTACGTCGTACTCCCTGTCTTCTCTCTACTCTGTCTTGGCAGGAAGACGAGGCAGGCAGTTGAGCTGTCTCGAGATGGTCTGGGCGTTCGGCTCCATGGACATGGACATGGTCTGATCTGTTTTTTCCAGAACGGGTTGGGTTGGGTTGGGTTGGGGCATGGCATGCCACAGCCATGGCATGCTATGGAGCTGGGAGGGGTTTAACTTTTTCGCTGTGGCTGAAACCATTTGTTTCACCCTGTGGGGTGTGATGTGAATCTGGGAGGATGTTGACTTGCAGGTGTCGATGGTTACCTCATGCCAGCAGTGCCCATAATTCAGTGCCAGTATGATGAGGCTGACAGAAGAGCTGTAGAACAGTGTTGCGGTTGAGATGAGCTTATGTGCTCTCAACCTGAGAATGTCGTCTTGCTCTCTGGAATTCGATGGAGATTTTTTAAAGACAATAGCTCGCCAGCCAGCGCAGATTCAGAGCTCAATCATGACGAGATCGGAACCAATCTCCTGGAAATATACATGGCAGGCTCCCCCCTCCTGCATGCTTGATTGAGAATCGACAAATTGCCCAAGAGTGCTACCACCTCAGCTCATGCAGTAATTTCGAAGTTCTACCGTGACATCTGGACGATATGTCAGTCGGTTCGAGCGCACTGTAGAATTCCTCCCCCCTCCCCCCTCCCCAACCCCCACCCCACCCCATCCCTAGTCCGAGTCACTTCTCGAGACACAAAATATCTTCGCCCGATGTGTCTGGAAGGTTGCGAAACAGAAATGTCTAGGGGTGTCTCCCTAGTGGCCAGGCCGCTCTGCGCAACCCCATGCACCCAGATGCCTCTTCGCCTCAGCCCATAGATCGCCAAATCACATCTCGTCGGTCGGTGCGGACCTGAAAAGAGCCCCAACATTTCTGACCTCGTCGAGCCCAACACTCTCCCTCCCTCCCTCTGGTTGTTAGCATCACCGTCCCACTCCTCCTCCTCCTCCTCGACCTCGCCTTTTTCGTCGTCTCAGTCACTCGTAACGCTCGAAAGGGCTTGAAAAAGACACTTTGTATTATTACACCGTATTCATCATCTCGGACCGAGCGCTCAGTGTGTGGAGCCAAGACATCAAGTAGGATCACACTACGTCGAGGATTTTTATATCCAGTCGGTCTGTTTGAGAGTGGACGAAACCATTTCCTTTCTGAGCTCTGCACGGACAATAGGCCTTTGGCATCATTCGATCTCATCTGGTGGGCTTATGCACACTCTTCCGAACCAGCGACAGATTTCGAGGATTTTACTTTCGATCATCCAGCAACCAACACAGGTTGCCAAAGACGGTAGTAATCCCATCTGAACAACGCGATACCACAATCGATCGTGACCTGGATGCCGGGATTTGCCTACTGACATGGCCACACTCGATTAACGGGACCTGGGAAAGATGTTGAAGAAGGCATAGTACTCTCCAACTCGGTCAATTTCCAGAGGAAGGCATCAAGTAGCACAGACCGAGAAGGCGATACTGGCCTTCATTTATTCCGGTGTATATGTCAGCTGGCATCAACTCTCTTCAGAAGTTCAGCTTCTGTCGGTGGGAGCAGAATGCTGACGACGGTTTAAGGTGTCCGAACCTTTAGATGAACATAATTGAAAATCAAAAATTACGTCAGAACGCTTGCTAAACCTGGATGGAGACAGTTGAATCAGATAGGAGTACCTGGGCTTGATTGGATGTGATTACGGATGGGAAAAGCGATCCCTCCTCATTGACATCCTTTTGACATTTGTAAATGTAACATTTGCAGAAGTTACGAATTTGACAAAATTGATTGCACATTCAAGGTCTCAGTCCAGTGAAACGTAGCCAATTCGTCACTTCCAGGGACTTTATCCACTTCATGAGAGATCAGTTTTCTGCTCGTGACAACTTCTGCAGCAACTACATGTGTGTAAACACATGGAAACGTGGAGACAAATAGTAAAAATTGGTACTATGTCAAATTCACAACGACGGCAGCACTTAAACTAATTGGTCTCTCTGTCCTTACAGAGAACAATACCATAATTTATGACGATATTCCATGGAACACGATCATTGTAGGTATGGTTCTCAGAGAATCTGGGGTGAAATCTACAAGGTGTGCTTTTCTTCATACAGCTTAGCAGCTGCAACTGTTGTGCATTCCGACCGCTAGTTCACAGAAGTCGTATCAGAGCTACAGAGGTTTGCTCGACATATATCTTGGACGGTTTGCCTGAGTCGATCTTCGATATTGCCACTTATACTTCTGGGTTACTCTACAGATACGCAGTCTCGTACTGGCGGCTGAGATAGAGAGTCCTAAGTTTGAAGCTGCACCTATCGAAGATTCACCACCCGGAACCTCCATGTAGATGGCTCGACAGTGACAGTGGACAGCAATTCTGATTACCAGAATTTCAAAGGGAAGCGATTTTGCGGTAGTCAGAACTGCTGCCTCTGTGGCTGAGTGAAAGACAGGAGAGGAGAAGATTGGAGTTCTGATGCATGCAGTGCTTCGCATTCTCATACGGTGACAGAGAGAATATCGACTAGCCCAGCTTGCTCATAATAATAATACTAAGAATGGTGCAGGGATGTGCTCTTCTCCACATCCGAAGACAGATCCATCGAATCCCAGAAGACACTGTAAGCTAGAGATATATCGACGTTGGTGATTCTTCTCCGAAATCTGAGGGCTCGTTCAAAGAGGTTGAGAAAAGGTCCCAACAACAACAAAATGGATTATTAGCTCGAGAAGCATCTCACAAGACCACCACCTTTCCTGGCAGTACGGTCACGAGATGGAATTCGAGCAATGTACTCGGAGAATAAGTAGTATGTCGACAGACAAGCAAGCGAGCGAGGAAGAGGTGCTTCGAGTGCAGATTCGAGTCCTCCACAAGCTGAGAAGCACGATGCATGTGTAGGTGGATCAGGTAGCATTTTCTCAGCTTTCTACTGCAGGTGCTCTGTACCACGGGTGGATGTAGGAGTCTATGTGGCAGAAACCGATACAAGCGATGGCATTGCTAAGACAAAATTAATATAAAAGAACGTATTTTAATCTGCTAGATTCTTGATCTGACATGTTATCTGCTCTTGTACCAACATGGTCACTCACCAGTACACCAGCCCATACTCTACCGTGCATGAAGTCTGCTGACTAGAGAATACTTCACAGGTTAAGTCTCGCTCTAGGTAGACCTTAGCTTTTCAGTTACAAAGGCTTGCCTCGTCCCATCAAGCTGGGCGAAATAGTGTCATGTCGGAGATCATGAGAACTCTCAGATGAGTTGATGTTTCTATACAATATCTTTCCTTCCGCTCTACCGTGGCACCCACCTTGAAGTCGATTATTGGAGTTTGAAGATCGACATCTCACAATCTTATGAATGGAAGAGTTGATCGTGAGACCCATAAAATTGTAACAGTAGCTGTGCTACCAAATTTCCACCGGTGTAGGTTTTCTCACAGTTGTGGTCGATGAACGAACGAAATGAATAATGAATGAGTGGACGTTCAAAGCACAAACCATGTCCGAGTATTCTGCTTTTGACAATGTATGCAGTGATTCACGATAGCGTCTACCTTGAATAGAAGTGAAGAGACACCCAACTACACCTCATAGTGAGAGCACTCCATGAACTGTCAGAATTGATGAAGAGTCCGTTCACAGGGTTAATAGTCCTCCTTGTAGAGTTTAAATCACTGTCTCAGTAGAGGGAGGCAGAAAGAGATGGCATGGAGTACATCTGTCCCACATGACCTGCATGGAAGTCATTCATGAAAGGTCGTTTACCTCTTGCGACAACGATGCATCAAACATCTGACGGACGTGTACTCGAGCTACTCAGATGGCAACAGCCGAGGGCTACGAGTGGCTCAGCAGGAGAGCCACACGGCTCATGAGGCTCATGGATCTCAACAGATCTCTGCATCCCCTTTGGTTATATAATATTCATTTGAACCTTGAGAAATCCGGTCCGTGGTGGTCTCACATGTTGAGGAGCTGTTGCGCTAGGACATTGCAGAGGCGCTTCGAATGCCTTCGATACTTCTTCCCCATGCTTGTTGGCAGAACAAACCCGCATGATTCGCTGTGCAGACAGAAGGATAACAATGCGGCATTATTTAAGAGAATTATGTTCTACCGTTGTAGTTGTTGTACCGTTGCACAGCCTCATCCCCGAGCCCACCTCCTCCTCCTTCTCCTTCTCCTTCTTCTCCATCTGTAGCACTGCAGTCAGGAATGCCAAAAGTCCAGGGAACTACACCTACCGGATGTTCTGATGCCCCTTCAACTCTATCCTCTCTGATGCTCTTCTCATCTGCAGCAACCACGAAGGAGAGGGATTGAGAGAACAGAAATAAAGATGGAGGTGGGCTGTATTCTCAGCAGACCTGCGTGTTCTATTGGATCCAACTATGTTATGATAAATCAGATGGCGAAGACACAGAGCTAACCTGCGGCTTCTGTCCTGATGCTCCAAAGGTCCATGTCCTGTGCACCTCCATGTTGAAGCAGGTGGTTGTTGAATGGTTTGAGCATGATCTCGTTAACCTCCTGTCCACGCTGTAAAGGATAAGCAGTTTTCCTTTCTATTTTTTAAATAGGAATGTAAGTGAGTCTGGCGTTGCACGTTCGATTTGGTTCGAGGATGAGCTGAAGGAAATTAAGTGAGAGACTCATTTATGAGCATCCAACGCAGCGAAGTCTTTGAAGGCCAAAGGGTAGATGCTAGTAGCCTGAATGATGCATTTATTATGAGAAATATTCACTTCAGCTAATATGGCAGAGGGTTCAGAGCTGGCTCTATTTTGGTCTCTCTATTGTACAACACGCATGTCTGCCTGTCTCCTCCGTGTCTCCTCTGGTGTCCCCAGAGTACACTAAAGTGCAATTCCAGTTTCAGCTCGCAGAAAAATCAACCCAGATAGTTCCTCTCAAGTTTCATCCATATACTAAATGTGGAGACACCACCTACTGTAGTGTTGTGCTACCCTTATTCGCAGTTCCCATTAGTTCACCTTCTGTTAGCTCCAGAGTTGACATCTTTATAGACCGATGTGGAGGAAATGCGAGCGTGTCAAACAGCAGGACCAAATGTCGCCCTTAGCTTTCAGTCTTAATGAACTCTTCATTTACCACTTTTCAATCTGACTAGAATTTGGCTGCATTCGAAGCGTGTCCTCTCAGGGCCTCTCCCTGCTTCTGGGCCTCATAAACCAGGACATATACAGTGCAGTAACAAAAAATAAGATAGAGTAACAGAAGGACCAGCTGATATAATGTGGTCTTTCACAGTCTGAACAACTCGCATGGTTAAGGATGGAGTAGATTTGAAGTGCGTTTGACTTGAAAATAAACTGAATAGTTTAATGGCCGTCTACACGAAATGACATTGGGAGCGAGACACATGATTTCTCTCTCCTCCAACTGCTTACTTACATGCTTCAGCTCAAACTGACAGTACTTTCACTCATGCTATGCGCTGTACGCGTCACTTTCAGCTCTATCTCTAACTTCGTCAGCCTTAACCATCTACCTGGACATGGTTATGGTTATATAACAGAGCCTCTTAACTAACTTTTCTCTCTCCTTCTCTCTCTCTATAGCTGCCTCTCCTTGCTTCCATGAACGGACTCCCTACACCACGTAGCGACACTTTTGTAACTTCCCTACGGGATGAACTGGATGGTTAGGAGGTTCTAACTTCTCACTCACTCACTCATGAGCCTCTCGTCTATACACTTCAATCTTCCATCAGCATTCACGACTTGTCCTTGATCTCCAAATTCACATTGTTCTCTGCATGCTCTCATGAGTCATAATACGAAGTAACTAATCTTAAATTTCTTAACCTCTTGTACCTCTAACTAAACTCACGCTTCTCCAACAGTTCTCCTGCTGAAGTTCACTTCTCTCGCTCGTTATTACAGTCAACAACTGGGGACGCTTACTACGTTCCCATTTGAGCCCAACAACATTTCTCTCAGTTATGGCTGGCATTCCAAGACCTTGGCTAATCTTTTCTGGTTTCATGATATTTTGACTTTTTGGACGTCTGTTTGGAGTGTACTTCGTATCGTAGCTCGGAAACCTTCTTCTGCTTCTGCTTCGCCTTCCCCTTCCGCGAGAATCGAACATTGAAACCACAGCCTTTCTCGCAGTGGAGTCACACGCTGTTCTGTTCTGTTCTGTTCAATTCAATTCAGTTCAGTTCAGTTGTGTTCTGTTGTTCCAGCATGCGCACGTCCTGATCGAAGGTGTGCGTGCACACGCGGATGGAATTACAGTTTGGGACATGGCATGCGCACGCCAGTCTTGTAATGTTGCGACACATCACCTTGCTCCATCAATTCTCTCACGGGGGCTGGTCGCACCTGCCTCTCGGCGAGAGGAACATCCGAAGGGTTTTTCGATCCAGCTGCAATTTTCTGGAAACACGTCCCAATCTGATTGCAGCTGAACAGGACTTGGCTCTCTTCTCACTCACTCTGCAGAGTCGACACCCGGCTCGCACTCTTGTTTCTCCACATGTTTGACAATTGCCCAGCTGCACACGGCACTCGAACTAGAACCCTAAATAAGCTGCAGCGATCAGGCAGGTGGAGACGATGTGCCCACTCATGCAATGCTCCAAAAGGCTTGAAGATTCTTCTCAAACACGTCGAACGAATTTGAAGAGTAAATTTCAGCAAATACGATATGGAGACTTTGGATAAGCTCTGTGAGCTCTCGTATCGAGTTATGGCGTTTTGGTAGATGGTGACCAAACCATCCATGATCCATGATCGGACCACATCCTGGTGTACATGGTTACGACAGACAGACGGACGGAGAGGCGGCAGAGGGTGGTTTTGTTCGTGGTTCGAGAGGAAAACTGCGAGATTTAGATTTCTCTCGCTCTGGCCATCTGACTGTAGAGAAACCAGAGGACAGCAATGTTGAGCAGAAAGGATGGGAAGAGGCCATGGAATGAAATCATCTATGAATGGGATGGATGCCTCTAGCCCCAGAGAATCACAAGGGGAAATGGGAAATATGGGATGTAGAGTGGTAATATGAGGTTTTTACAGTTGAACTGGATCTGAACTTCTGAAGTGAAGGCGAGGGCAACACTGTAACAGAGGGTGGACTGTACGCAGCGTCTCGTATGTCTGTGGCCGATTCATCGTCTGATTAGCCTTCAATGATGTCGTGGCAGGGTTGTCAGAATCGCTGACCTTCTTATTAACGCTCGGTTCAATTGATGCAAATGTTGCTAGCTCTGAAGTTACTGCGCTTGCATACCTGGCATTTCGAAATCATGAGCACAGAGAATTAATCGGTCTAGAGTCTGCAATATACGATCCTGTACCATCCTATACGATCCTAGAGTTTCAGATGATGCAGACGTCAGATAGATCTGACACTCGGATGCCTCTGAATCGCAAAGCCATTAGATTAAAGAGGGAGGACTCAGAGATCGGATACTTGGGGACTTTTAGCAGTAGATTTCATGCAGGTCCAGATAGGCAAACTTTGTTTATGTGCACAAACATTTTCTCGTCCTGCAGATTAGTCACCCAAACCTGTTGTTTATGATCTCCACGCTTGTCCGATGGACAACCAACAACTGTGATACATTGTCATACAAACTTGCATCGACCACCTTTTTCGCGAGTCTCGACAGAAAAGCATCTGAGATTCAAAATAAACTTTTGTGTATATTCCACAGCTCGGGATAAAGCTTCTAAAGCCTGCTTCTTTTGCTGTAGATAAGGGTATGTTCCAACCTCGAAACTAGCACCTCCCCTTTCCGTAAACAAATAAGCGCCCAAGTGCTGGTAAATGTGAAATTTGCCAGATTCTAACCTTCTAACCTCTTACTCCCTCATGCGTCACTCTCGATGTCTTTTTCTTCCCCATGGAGACTCTCTAGCTGCTAGCTTATTCTAGTCACAGTCTCTGTGAGAATGACTTCTAGGCTCTCACAGTCGTGTTGACATCATTTCGTCCCTGCACTGTATTATGTTGCAGTTCATGCCTCTATTGGCGGATACACGACACTGTCCCAGGTCGTATTTCTACACAAAAACATGTCGTCCAGCAGCAGTAGCAGGACATACATAGTTCCCACTCTGATGCCAACTCTCCCCATGTTACCCGTTGGGTTTCAACCCTGTAGGGCTTGATGGGGTCTCGGTATTCTTGCTGTTGTAATACAGCTCCTGATTGTTTGGGAAGATGCACAAGTGTTAGAGATGTTTGGCATGAACGAATGGAGTGCTCTCTCTGTCGTGGAGCGTTGTCTTCTTCCTAAGAAAAACTGCCCTGTGGGTTACAGGACATGCCCCCACATTAGGAAGTCATGTGACCACACAGGGGAGGTGGTCCAAACGATCAGGGCAAGAGGCACTGGAGATAAGAACAGCAGACACCAAGACAAGGCAAGAGAAGGTTGATCAGTTGTTGAGTTTGCCTCGAACCTCGCCGTTGTTCCTGTGCTTTGCATGTGTCCCTTGAACAGGCAAATCAGGAAGACACAATTTGCAAATGTGTCATTTTGTCCGTCAGCTCAGAGAAGCCAAAGGAGCCGAAATCATCTCAGCTGATACAAATTTGGCTCTTGCAGCTTCACGCTGGTGGCAGTCAGACACCTCCAGACAAACACCTCCACAGTCTCTCGTCGATACGTGTTTCTAGACCAGCATAGTCCATCCTGTCTACACTTGCAGCAGATGAAGCGGAGGAGATACATGCCAGAAGTCCAAAGATCTATTGTAGCACGTGAACGATGAGAATCTCAAGCCACACAGATGACGGAGACGAAATCTCATGAGGAAAATTCAACTTGGGGAATGAAATCCAAACTTCTAAAACTGTATCTTGGGGTTATGACTTATGCTTCAGGATTCTCTGTATCAAGTGAGGTTCAAAAGTCCACTTATGCTTATGAGGTCCTGTGTATCAGGAGTTGACAAATTGGTGCTTAATCTCTGATCGTGGAAAGTATATCCCATCTCGCAATTCCAAGTGTCAACGACTGTGCCTCCAGATGCCTTCGTGCACATCTTGACAAACATGAAACCATGTCACCCCTTGGTTTGATCTGATCCGTGTGCGGCTTGATGATGGGCTCTTCTTCCCTATCGTTTCTGCCACATTACATGACGCCCCGTTGTTCCCAATCCGTGCTATTAATGGCTGAATGTGGTCCGAGCCTTAACTGTGTGAGCTGGTTGAGATCCAACCCAAATGTCCCTTAAGTATCGGTGGCACTGTGTGAGCTGGTTGAGATCCAACCCAAATGTCCCTTAAGTATCGGTGGCACGGTTCTCCGTTATCCCCCAGCTGCTTAGAGAAATTTGTTTGCTAGCTACCTCCAAATTGATCCAACTGTTGCAGGGCATGCTTCGTATGTGAGAGAGGTGAAGCCGGCCCTCGTTTAAGGATCTGTCGAAAGCGTGCCGTCCATCCATGAATGCAACACGCTTACCTTCGGGGATGAGTCAACAAGGCGGACTATCTTTAGTTTACCACATGCCCCTATCTCCTCAAACCTCGTGATTTGTCCTCAACATGCCCTTGGAAGTGGACGAATTTCCAGGACAAGCACACTGAGCAACATTGTTATCAGCTTGCCAAATGACTGCACCACTATCCTTGTCCCCAAGTAGTAGACTGCGAACAGGTGACACTCAGAGAATGGTATGGTATACAATCTGTATGGGAGGATTGATTTGAGGTAACTTGTCCTCATCGTGGACATGGCTCAGCGAGAGCAACCAGGCAGCAGACATGAGAGGCAAAGTTGATTCGGAACAGCTTTTGGAGATCTTACGACCGCAGTTCATGTCGCGTAAATGTAATTGATGTGGTGGAGGAAAGCTGATCCACCGATAGAAGGAACAAAAGCGGAAGTTATGACTTCGACATTCACAGTCGCCAGGAATTTTGCTGATCTCTGTCAAGATCATCAGAGGAGATGGCGATGATGTTCTTCAGTCCATATTAAGCGTTGTGTTGCTTGACTTCATGGATCCATCCATCCATCTTCATCTTCACGTGACGCAAGTGTCAAAGTCCTCCTCCTGAAGCTCCCTCGTACGCATATCTCACTCACTCCCCTATCTCTCTGAGGGCCCCAAACCGTACCCCCTTCGCAAAGATGACCAAAAGGAAATGGAAGGGAGCTGAAGCTGATGTTGTCGGCGGTCCATGAAAATGACAAAGTTCTCTTCCTTGTGTCCATCTTCATGATCGTGACTAAGATTCCCGAATATTTGCGTGAAATCCTTGTGTAGTTTGACTGTTTCTGTCGGTCGTTTTATCGAATACCGGTTGATTTATCATTATGGTCGAGTATCAACTCGACCATAATAATAAAAGTGGACAAAATGCATGCTTCCATGAAAGATTGCTGGAACAACCTATCCCTCCCTCCCTCAATTCATTCAATCAATCATGTATAATTGATTGTATAGGTATGTAAGTTGGGCAGGTGTGCTCCAAGTTAGCAGCTATAATGTTGCTTGAACTTCCTCGCCTTGCCGTCAGTCAGATTGACAACAACTCAGCCGTTCCCCCAAAAAACATTTCCACCACATTCATCGCCATCTCTTCTATTATCAGTTTCCATCGATCACACATGTCACATCATTTCATCACATGCTATTATCAGTTTCCATCGATCACACATGTCACATCATTTCATCACATGCTATTATCAGTTTCCATCGATCACACATGTCACATCATTTCATCACATGCTGCTCTTGCTAGAATCATTTTCTCCTTTTGTGCTCTCACTTCACATGGGGATGGGGATGGGGATTGGGATTTGAATTGAAGCCACCAACATATGAGGGGTGTGTGGCAAGCCGTCGGGTAAATTGCTAAGATGATTGGGAGTCATCTCAATCTCTTCTCTACCGAATATTACTGATTTGTTCTCTAAATGCACATCTCTACCTTCACAGTCGCTATATGGTGGATAATAAAACAATCTACGTTTGTGCATACACTTTCCGCCAACAAACTCGTCCGTGATCTTATAGTTGTTCTTCATAGAAACTTGAAATCCATCCAGTGTTTTAGATGTAGGATCTGATTATACTTTGAGGTCGCCATCTCTAAGTCATGAAACATTATACCTTTAACTTTTAGCCTCCATGCTTTCCTGCATAGGTTGTCTCCAGCATGGACTCCAATCTAGCTATGTTGTGTGAGGTCGAGTATGCCCATCAAAAGAATTTCACATTTGCACGCTTCATTCTCTTTTGGTGCATACTCCCACACATAGCTTTGGACGTATTTGGTCAGAGAGGTATCTCTCATTGCATCGTCATGTCCACTGAAGATTTCTGCCACTGCTGCTGTGAAATTAGATTAATATTTTATGTAGACTATGCAATGAGCTATTGATGCGCTTGTTCATGAAGAGGACAATTGTAGACGTGACGTTTCAGGAATTTAATGTAACTGAGGTGATGGTTGCTATGACGTTTCAGAAACCATGTTCTTATCCTCACAGCAATTACAACTGAGATCTCTGGGTTGTTCTCTACACTCTTGTAATGAACACATTACAGTTGACTGATTGACGTGCGTGAAAAGTGTACAGAACCCAAACTCATGCATCAGTAACAAATTGCCTGGTGTACATAAAAATTGAGATGAATTTTATAGAAATGACGGCGTAATTACAGATAGGTTTTCGCTACATCCACAGTAGTGGGTGGGAGAATTCACAGGGTGTGAAATACGGGTAAGATTCTACATGATACTTCTGTCATCGCTAGCTGATATCAATTACAGAGTTTTGAAGCTAAGAATTCTGCATATCTTCAAAATCTTTTAACTAGTTGAGAAGAAAATCTTGTAAAGCTTGTGAGAACATGGGCCGGAGCTCTGGTGCGCGGTCATTGCCTCTTGCTGCGCACACACATTCACACAAGGACACCTAGAAACATATAAAACCGTCTGCCAGAAAAACTAACAGACTCTAGGGCCGACCCTTCTAGTTCATTGAGGGCAAAAGTAAATCACGAGAGGAATTTTTCTACACTTCCGTCCAGCGTCTTCGGCGTTCGAGAGGGTAAAAGCAAGACAACGATCGTGTTCCCTAACATTCCTTACCCAAGTCACAAGGTACCGAAGTCAAGATGCGTACTCAAACATCATGACTCTACCGAGAAGAGTGGAAGGTAGAGTCCACAAAGTACGCCAAGAGGCACTTGCCAAACACATTCAGCGACAAACATACCACTAGATTCTTGCATGATTGATGAGCTTTAGCTGCTGGATAGTAGAGGCCAAACTGTGAGTTTGCGATACAGCCCAGCGATGCTATCCAAACACACCAGCATTTGTACTTTGTGAGAACTTGTCCATAGAGGGTCCATGTGCTGGCCCTCGAGAAATGTCCAAAGCAGCGACACACAATATGATTCCAAACTTCTCTAAGTCAAAGCAACAGAATACAAAGTGCGCAACGAGATGGAGATGGTTAGGAGCCCACTTTCCTCACAGACATCTATAACCTCAAATACAACCAATCCGTTAGACGTGTGCGTCGGTAAATGATCCAAGTGTTCTATGCTTGGAAGAGGACCACCGGATTCGACGCCTGGGTCAATATTTTCCTCGTGGCAACGCCAGATTGGACCACATGAGATTCAAGGTCACTATGAAGAGGAGATTCTCTTACCACGAAGTTGTCCCTGATAATGCTGTCTAAAGTACGATCTTCCGAGAGATACTAATGCTGCCATCTCTGAAGTTGCGCAAGTTACTACGAAAATATTATATTTCAGTCATTTCCTATACTACTATTCGAATCCAGAGAGCAATCAACGGCAAGACAGCAACAACAACATCGACTCAGCAGAAGGAGACAGACCAAGTTGCTAAGTTTCTTAAATTCCACTTCAGATCGCAAAGCGCATGAGAAGAGAATGACGAGGAATCCTAGAAATAAAAATTCATCAGTTATTTACAACATAACTGGAACTAAACATAATTTGAAATATCTCGTGTCAAGTGATTCTCTACACGTCTGTATTATGTGCACAAAGTGCATGAAGGTTAACACTCGTGTATTCTGAGTCAAGTACTATGACTGGATATTAAAAAATAAGTGACTGCGAGAAAACAAGTTCAATATGAGCATGCTTCGAGGATTTTCACACTCAATTAATTGCAGTGTCGCTACACATGAGTCAAATGCCCATAAGTCGGTTTATTATAGTACTGTATGTTCAACTCTTGTCATTGCGTCCAGTAATGCTCTGACAAAACGTCCTTCTGATGTGTTGCTATTTTGTATGTTGTCTACTGTTGTAGCAACTGTGTTTAGAGGTAAAAATACCGCACAGTCATAACGTAAGCAAAATATGTTGGAATGAATTTCGTTTTATGCATGATGTTACTTACATTCTCAGAGTTTCTACACTCAGAATTAAAGCAAAATAATCCGAGATGCAGCTGTAAAATATTGAAGAATATGTACTGATAATTGGAATTGAGACGGGAGGATGCTTCAGAAACATGGGGCCTCATCGACGTACCGTTACAGGTGGGACTACTGAAAAAGTTGGATGAATAACTCCCTCGTTGACAGCAACGGCGCCAACTCCCATCCAGAGACTTTTGAAGAAAGTTATGAGCACGTCATGCCTACATATTTAGCTTTGGCACGAATTGGAGGCATGTAGTTAGCTCACTTGAATACGGCACAAGAAGAGCCAAGTCCACTATGTCATGAGAAACAGATTAACATACATCATGAGAGCGCATGAGAGCGCATGCAGGTATATATTGTTTGAACCACACCGTTCATTGTGATCTGATCCACCACGCTAGCATTCTATAATGTTATTGCTCCAATTAGTCAACTATTATAGACTATAGACATGTCTAAAGTATTAATAATAAGGTATATTATGACTGGACATATTTCTGTACGAACTTCCTACATACGTTTAATACCTGAAGTGTTCAAAAGTGCCTTCTCTATGTACATGAAGGTTTGCATTCTCAATTTCTACACACACACAAAACAAACTTACCTGGTCAAAGCTTGCAGGACGGATACTATCATGTAAAAAATTCAACAGATCATTGGGTGATGTATGTCACACATAGGTACGGTGTTCGTTATTGTACATTTTTCTTTTGGTCTTTCATTTACTTTAAATGAAAATTGACCGCATCATATAATCAAAGAATTTACTTCGTTGAATCATGTCTAAGAGCCGGTTTTGAAGAAAACAGGTTGTGTTCCATATATGAAGACTCGAAATATATGTCTTTTGAGTATCGAACACATATATTTCAGTAGAATATTTATTTAGAGAATATGAACAAATCTATATCGAACAAGTAGGACATAAATAATTCTATCATACTAAAGAGATACCACACATATGCTGAAAGTCTTTTACCATTGACAATCATGAAGTAGAAAAAGATTACATAAACTGGTTACAATATACTCTCGCCACCAATGGTTGTTTGATTCTGAAGATTTCTTCAGAGAAGTAAACAAGATCTGCCTTGCCTATACGTTATGAATGTAATTATTAAACAGTACGATTAAGACATTTTAAAAAACTGGCAAAACTTCAGCTTGCATTTTTTTGAAGTTCTATATGTACGATGATCCTTTACAAGAAGTGTAATTAGACATACATTGTCAGATTCTAGCTTGCATTCCATTGTGGTTGTGGGCTTAAGAAACTGTGCAATTTGAAAATATTTTTCTCTACCGTATTATACGGTTATCATGGGGATCCCAGTGTTATGAAAACTCCGCACAACATAAAGAATCAACGGCACCAATTTAATAATTATCCGGCATTTGGACCACCATCAAGTGTAACAGCACCACACAACAGTTTAGATCATCATCTCAACATTCTCCGTCTAAGGCAGTTGATACCCAGATGACTAATTCAATATATACAAAAAATATTTCTAATGAGATAAAAAAATTTGATTTGCATATCTTGCCAAAAAAATGGGGTTAATCGCATAAATTTTTTTTTAATTTGTACTTTTTTTATACATAAAGTTATAAACCAATATATAGATGAGGGATGATGTGAGAAAAAGTTCCTCTTGTAGTAAGTAGATATTCTGTGTACTTGTAACATGCGGGACTTACGCTTTCTTCAAAGTCCAAAAATTCCTTGATTCTCAAATGTACATGCAAAATCTTGCACATAATCAATCCACATAGAAAAAATATAATTGCATTCTAGTTATTAGAATATAAGAATCCAATGCACTTCAATTCAATCAAAATTGCAAGAAAGCATATTTCTAATATGGTATTTTTTCCCAAATGATACTCAATAATAGTTTCGACAAAATGTATTAAATCGAAAGGCAACTTTATTAAATTAAATGAGAACATGAGGACATCATCTTTAAATAAATGTAGAACAAGCAACCAATAAAGGTATGTTGCAAATTTTTCAATTATTGTGCATCAATGATTGTACGTATCTTCATTCGAGTCCTTATACAACTTAAAGAACGTAATGTGGTACCTGGTACTTAAAAACTAAGAAGTAACAAAACGATGGATTTTTTCCATAAGATAGCTTGCAGTTTGTTTCAAACATAAAACACGAATATGTCAACTGCTACTATGATGGAAATGAGTTATTAAAACACGTCTGCTTTACATAAGTGAGTTATGATTCATACTTTGACGTTTTACAAGCGGATATAATGAGGTGGACAAAGGGAGGGAGGAATGAGAGAGTTAAACTTAACTGGAAATATTTCCGTCTGTTTGCGAATGTATCATATCTCTATGGAAAATTGCGTTGAAAACTAAGATCATGGAGAGATGATAGAATATTATTTACATCTTTGGCCTGTCCAACAAGTGTCGTTTTTCACCAGAGAAAATCAACACTTGAATATGAATAAAGTTACACAGAAGGAAACCAAATTACAGCTGTTAGAAAGCCGTCTTCTGCGTACTTACAGCTTTAGTGCTGAACATTTTTTATCCCGGGAGAATATTGAATAATATCCATGGCAATGATAGAAGCAGGTGTACTCGAACTGGATAGGCGCATTTCCGAAATGTCCATCCTCGGGAACTGCATCCAGTGATTGGCATTAGCTTCGAAAAGTGCTCTTAGGTACGACTTATCGACACAACGACACCAAATTCACAGCGCCATGTTAGCTTAGTGGATAACACTAGCATGACAGAACAAAAGAGATCACACCCACACAGAACAAAAACCATCACCTAACCAGGACAGCTGATCATTCTACTGACTCGACTCTAATTTAGGTGGCTAACGTAAGGAGTGAGAAGCGTTCAAATGAACCTCATGTGCTGGAAGCTGTTGTTGTGTGAAGACCTTAATACCCACAATCGTGTTGACCGCATGTCATGGGAAAGGAATGCTTGGGTTGATTACAATCAACCCAAATTTGCTTTTTCCGATGGATGGAAGGTTGCAGATGGAAGGTAGTGGGCAGGTGCCTTCAGTGAGTGAGTCGAAGTAGGTCAATGGTTCATCACTGACTAAATACACACATCAATCCAGAAGAATCTTGGGAAACTTTTGGCATTTGAAACACTTTGAGCTCAAACTGTGTCATTTCCATATTATTGTAAGTCATTGGCAAAGTATGCAGCTGACACCAGACCCAAAATAATTACCACCAAGATCATCGTCGAGTGAAAATACTCCAACGCAACGCTTAAAATGCTCGAAGAGAAGAGTACTTGCAACAAAAGGACGAAGGTAACAATATGAGCTAAGCAGTAGAGTACACCATGTTTGTAAGGAGCCTTCAGCCGGGCCATGCATCTGGCTTCGGATGCATTCAAACACCATGTGGTCGACAAAATCATTGCGAAACCGCAGAGAACTCTAAAGGCCAAAACTCTGAGTTCGGCAGTCATCACATGGGTATGATGCACAGGATTCCCTGTAGAAGTTACCACAGTAGATGCGGACGGATGGAGCTATCATACCTTGAGCACCAATCAAATGGAGAACGAGAGAGCTTCACAACATTACACCCACCCATCGAGATCAAAGACTGTAAGCTTTCAACAAGTCGAGGTAAAAGTACAAAGTCTGGAACTGAGCTGCATCTCTGCAGCATGCAGCCTCTTGGGTTCCAATTGGGTATGGCTACGAAGACCATGTGGTTGACACATTATTGCAACAAAATCAGGAGGGCAACAGAAGGCGGTCATCACATGGTCTTCCCCAAAGGTTGTACCAAGATATACTGGAGCTTGAGGCTTGCATCGACAAACTGGAGTAAAACTCATTTGCGTTTGCAGACATCCAAGGGAAAAACGTCCAAAATGTAGATCTTCTCCAGGCTTGACATCTGATAGTGTCGTACCTACAGCAAGGTTGCTAGTGGTGTTCCTCCTATCTGGTTCCTAATTTTTCTGACATTGCTTTTCCTTGGGTACTAAGCCAACATCTCCTTTCCACCTCGTAGGGGACATTATTGGTCTTGATTTGGTAGCCATAGTTCACGGCTGGAATCACTCGATATAGTTCACATATTACGTCTCATCTCTACTGACACGACCATGTTCTTCATTTTTCTTACGATACTATGGGTCTTCTACACTGGGACACTTCCATATATGATAGTTATGTCGAGAAAGATAGATGCACACTTTGAGTTCACATTTCAAACTTCATTACAAAGAAATTTAGTTATTTCATCTGACTACTGTAGAGTATGAGCAATTGTATCATACTGCTCACCTACGGGGCATAAACACCTGACCTTTCTGTATCTGATGTTACTTGTCAGTATTAAACTTCAATAATGTACCTCTCACCATGACCCGTCCACGTTTGCAGCAGACAAATTGTTCATAGTAATGGTCAAAATAATATACAGCTAATATATTGACGGTCAAACAATGAATACACACTACATATTCTAACTTAGATGTCGGATCTATCGAAAAAAATATGCTACACAAAAGCAGTTACTAACGATTTTCCAAAAATTCGTTACGAAGGTTGTATATATAAGCTTTTATGAGAAAAACTGGTCATACTTTGACATATAATGTCTTTCTATATTTTTCATTAAAAATTTTTATCACTAAATCAGTAATCAAATACATTGGAAATAATAAGATATGATTTTTTCCTTGAAAATATTTAATAATTCCATCGCTTCATATTATTTGACATATAATTTAAAATAAAACTGCTCCACTGAAGTTAATTAGTACTAATATAACACTACACGTGTAAGACGGTGAGGAAAAAAATACTAATACTGATGAAAAGAGCAACCAGACGTACGAAAGACTATCATAGTGATTTCAGTTAGAGGCTTCCGCTTGATAGGCCCGATTTAGCCACCTTAGTGTACAACTCTGACAAGTAACGGAAAATCATTTTCCTCATTTTACACTTGAGCACACTTAAGTGGAACTTTTACGTTAGATTTAGACGTCTTTTTCGGAATCTTTTCGGAATGCATCGAGGTTTAGACAGTTAGCTACAGTACTCAAACACCATTAGCAAAGAAAAGCGATATAATCAAAACAATATTTGGAGAAGAATATTTGGATTTACTTGAAAATACGACCAATAAATAAGAAGAGCTACATTTTAATATTGAAGTAACTTTTTTAGCAAATGATCTTGAATTTTAACCTTTTATTAGCTGATCACGTTTCACCGAGTTAGATCTCTCCTCTTACATGTAGAAATTGAAAGACCTAGAGAACTAAATGCATTAATAAGGTCATGACCGAGCTGTAGAATTGTTGAAGAGAAGTGATCTTGAGATTGCATCCTCATTTCATATTTATGATGTAAAGAAGTTTCGCAAAATGTTCTGTTCTTTTATAAAAGAAATATCGCATCGCATTTTGGTCACGAGATATGAAGAATATTCAGCTAATCTGTGTACATGAGATCAAATCTAATTTTCGAAAAGTTACAGGGGCTGTGCAAAGTAACTCCAGTGTTTCAAGGAAGCACAAGCGGGAAGGGAAGGCTGAAAAGAGCCTTCCTAAACACGGACCAAAAAGGTAGATTCCGTATATCAGGGGTCCCATATACGCATGCACGAAGGAAAGGATGATGAAAGAAAAAGCTGCCAAAAAGGCTACAACAACATTAATGACTTTGATGTTCCTTCGTTATGCAAAGAGGTGTTTTATAACTGAAGTTTGATTCCTTCATAAATACTTGAACTTCTTGCTATTTTTCCCTTTGACACGACTGCTGACCGGCAAACTTTGTTGTACAGACAAGGTGTAAGAAATCTCATCCTGATGCTGTGTAACGTGGGAGATTGAACCTATTGTAACATGGATAGCATTGTGCTTCATAGAGCCAAGTTGACCCCCATGCTGAGTACACTCTGAGTTACTACTAGGCTGAGTAAACAATGTAACAGCGTAGACATTGTAATCACCTACAATTCAGTATTACAGTGTGAGTACACTTGAATTTATTCTAATAATAGAAAAGGATAGAGTACTTAGTAAAATGGCGAGCATGAAGACTCAAGAATACTGCTAACCTAAGATTTTGTGAGGATCCGAGCACCATCTACAGTATTGGAATGGCTAAGTGCTACTTAAGACATCGTCATCCAAGAGAGCTGGAGCATGAGTGCCAGGGATATTACAAAACGTATAATATTGGCCGGTGTCAGTAACGGTGAAATAACAACTTACAAGTTCAGGATTATGATCTCTAATGAGTACTTAATTTGTGTGGTCGCCACGAAGTCACTATGCATAGCAGTCAATAGTGCAGGGCATCAGGACATTTTTTACTGGGAGTTTAATGCCAGCAACGGTTGATGACGGCCTTAATCCGAATTTTGGAAGTGTCGAATGACTTGTGTTCTGAGATTGTACTGTAAAGTGAGCCTTGATCAATTACAGTATCCAGCGAAATTAGAGAAAAATATCTAGGACCCTCGAGAGCGTTAAGTCCAGCAAGGAATTGGTCTGCAAGTAACTAATTCTGAGAAATTATGGGGTAATCTGAATCAATTTCCTGTAGTTCTCTGATGGAAGAAATGGAGCTCATGATCACCACTTCCACTCAAGTGCATCTTCCACAACTAGGTCAAATACTACGGAAGATTCACAAGACTGTAGTTTGGACGTTGACCAGAGGAGTCAAGCAACATTGAAATAAAACATGGAGATGATGATGGCGTACTTTTGAGAAAGTGCAACCTGTAGAAGGTAACATGACGAATGCTTTCAACCTTCAGCTTGTTGCATGTCACTGATAAAGAAATAAAACTTTCAGAGGGGGACACAGTACATCACAGTGCTATGTCTAGCAGTCATCAAGTAAAGGGCAAGGCGATTTCGGCTTCAGCAAGATCCCCTTCATTCTGAAGATGGCATGCTTACGTCTGCCTGGCACAGAAGTGCATTATCAGATTTTTCTTCATCATCATGGTACATCATCTACCGCGTGAAGAAGAAGGACTATAGTCAATCAGCTCAATCTAGCTAGCTTCACATGTTGCAATGCAGCAAAACATCAATACGCTTGTTTATCGTCTATATTTTTCGCTCCTCTCATGGTATACCTTCAAACCTACAGTACTCCAGTGCCTTGCCTTCATGTTAAAATTTAGCGAGTCAAGACCTGTTTGTCTCAATCTTTGCTATATTAGGAACTATATTATCTTATGATCCTAATATACGAAGAGCCTTTCCTACATGAGCTGCACAGAACTGCACGTCTACGAAGATTAATATGGCTGTTAACGAAACGACCGTAGTACAAACGTCCAGAAGAGAACCGATGAAACGAAGGATAACCGTGGACAGGGAAGACTAGTTGACATGACAGTGACTGTGCAATAAGAGAGCTGCTAATCAACAGTTGTGGTTATGCAAGTACGAATCAATATAAAAATCAAAAGCAATGCTTAGAGTGGCGTCAAGTCCTGTTATCTAGAGTCCACTCCATAACGGTGGAGTTGCACATTACATCTTCTGTTATCTGGAACGGATATAGTGCTCGATCAGTAGACTGAGGTGGCGACACGTCTCGAGAGCAAGAGGCGTGTGAGATTGTAGAACTGATGTCATGTAACAGATCGAATATCAAAAGACAACATTAAGAGTAGATCATGGGAGCAGTCCTAGAGTGCAGAACACGGTTATGTCCATCGTTAGAGGTATGTCAAATGTAGCAGTGATTGGATTGGACGGGACATGTCATGACAACCAACCAACCACCACTCGCACTATAGCCAGACTTGGATACTAGTAGACTGGGTCGCGTGGGAACCCAGAAGTTCCGGCTAAACTCATATTCCTAAAATTAAGGCAAGGAATATTGGTCTTAAGAGCGACTTGGTTTGTTTCTATCGGTGGGATGTTCTCGTGTACCATGGGAAGAGGTGACAACCCATACCGTGAGATTCCACAAACTCGAACCCACCAGCAGGTTGAAGAAAGCAACAAATCCAAACTGAATCATGATAAGTCAACACACAAAAGGCTTCGAAGGATCTTTCGGAATCAGAAGCCTTTTCAACCAGAATTAAATTTTCGGATATGGATGTGTGTCTAGTTCTCAAGGTGTCTCACTAGCAGCCTCATAGAAACATTGCCATGGACAGAAAGCAATTTTTCTTGATGACGGGAACTAGATTTCCTCGAGGATATCGACTGCTGTATTGATGAAAAAAACGATCAAAAGTACATGGAAGCCAATAATTCCATACTCTTTTCCAGGAAAAATGGTCAACCCAGTGATTCTGCAACAAATAGGGAATATCGTTCAGCGATCTGAAAGGAGGAATGGCATGCGATATCAAGGTTGAAGACCACACACCATAGCCCGTATTCGAGACCTCGTTCTTGGTGATGATAAGTTGCAACCCCAATGCTCGTAGAACGGCGCTGCCATATATTGAATCAAACTCGCTGAACAAAAGTGGTCAACGGCAGTTAGTTCATCAAACTCTGAAAAGTACGGACCGGAGTCACTCACTGGGGTTCACACTCAATGATCACTGGAAGTTTCTTGTGTAGTCCCTAAAAGGTGACCAATTTGTCTCTAGAATAACCTCAAAGTCGAAGAGAATTCGTGTATCACTGGAGTTCTTCTTTCTGCATTGATACACACCTCGACGATTTATCATATGTCTATCAGCAGAAAGAGTTGCGATACATTCAGACTTTTATTTTTCAGATAAGTGGTCGACTTGAAGTTGTACTTTTATGACTTTTGGAATCATGTAGCAACTTGATGTGTTTTGCAAAGAGGGCGCTCGTGTCGTACCGAGAAGGTGTCGAATTTCCATCCGACGAAGGAGTAGATGTCCATCCACTGAAACTCGAAGGCGACCTCCATGCGAGCGTTCGATAATTGGGTGGAGCAAAAAGCGATTCTTCTTCACACTAATGTGAGAAGAAGAATCATGACGCGGCGTCCTGCAAAAGGAAGTGAAGTGTCAAGAATAAGCAGCAGTAAAGTGTTAACTCGAAGACGAGATGAGATGGACAACTTGGTCTGCAAGCCTAGGGCAGTTCATTGGACACCGCGAGAAGTTCCAACCGGAAATAACCGAAAGCTTGAAACTTTTGACTATTCAATCGTTGGGGACGCTTGGAATTCGTTCGACACCACGCAACCTTCACAACACACTCTCCTGACTCGACATAACGCTACACATCTCGGGGGCATGTCGTAGGCATGAACACCTGATTCTCGAGGTTGCACATAATGGACTACCTTTTGAATATAAAACACGACAATACAAAGATAGAGCATGTAGGTCCACGAAGGAGGAGACTCGACGGCGTAAGCTATGTTGATTGATGACATGAATGGAGCTTAAACAAAGTTGCCCCCCTTTTCAGAGTGTGTGTGGTACGGTGTTGAGCTCGACCGAGCATCCAACAATGCATGGCCTCCTTTAGCCGCAGTGTGATCGAGTTAGAGGCCGGGGCGAGGCCTCCAGATTAGCCAGGAAGGTACATCATCAAACCTGAGGAGCCTGCGGAGAAAGCAGCGGGAATTGTGGTCGCTAGATTCGCCACAAGGCTGGCAAATGAATGGAAACTCGGGGGCTGTAGCTCTAGCAGCACCCTCCAGACTCGTAGGAGAAGCCGGTCAACAAAGTAGGCGAGCTAACTTCTTGAAGACAACCAACGAATTCAATCATATATCGCAAATGAGACCCGTCGATGAATTCCATATATCGGTCGCATTCCACATTCAATATCGTAGACTTTCCCCAAATCATTGGAGAATAACATTCCTCCTTTACCTCAAGAACTATATCCGCCATGCCTTGAAGTTAAGTTGACGGAGACAACATCAGAAGCCGGAACGTCGATGCATTGGCTTCCCAGTCAATGATACACAAGCGCTTCAAGAGCACCGGACAAATGTCTCACTTCCACCTGGATCATTTTCCTCTTCTTGACCTGGTCCCCTATCTCCATCCATCCAGTTGAGCATCACCAACTGGAATTCAACAGACACTTCGATCTTGGCCACGCAAGGCGGGATGGTGGTGGTGTTGGGGGTTGAGGGTTGAGGGTTTTGGGAGGGACACGGGAAATCCTCCTCACAAGTTGTTCTTGACAAATTCGATTTGGAGGCTAGAGGGAGGAGAGAGAGAGGGAGGAGGGGGGTCATGCACGAGAGGGGCTTAAGGTGAAGATGACGAAAAGGTGGAGAGGATCGGCACAGGCAAAAATATCTTCATGCAGGGGAGATGATGATTCACCGTGTGCAGGAGGGCTGGGACCAGCAGGACGACGACGAGTGACAACACAAGCGTCGGAAGATGAGAAGAATTGTGGGGGGCCAGAAATAGGTGAAACCTGAGAGATGGGAAAGGGCACCTTTCCTTATCTCACCGGTGGCGGATCTCGAGTTCATGATGATGGAGGAGGAGGGGGAGGGTGGCCCCTGGAAAGGAGAGAGGGAACAATCTCCGAGACAGAAACATATCTTCGGAATCTGACCATTTACAAGTGGAGACTAGAAAAGTGACGCCATAACTTCCCCTTGCAGCGAACTCGAACTGTTTTAAAAGATAAAGAGCTGGGAGAACAAAAGGCCATACGCAATTAATTTCTCACGAAAATTCGGCGACGAAAAGCTCGAGCACCAGGGTGGAGAGGTGACGAGGAATCTTTGAGACTTGGTTCGCCAACTTTTGTGATGGCTGCAATTTGACCCAAACTGTAGACGACATGTCCACTGATGATGATTCCCCGCAAGCAGGTGCAGCATGAAATCTCATTTTCCGCCACTTTCCCTCCCCTCCTCCCCTCCTCCGGTCAGATTCTGCGACGCCCACTGCAGACTGGGATCCCCGCCAAAAAGTCCCAACATCCCAAAAGAAGGGAGGGGGAGGGCTTCGCCGAAAGAAAGGGCCTACCTGAATCTAAATTGACTTAAGCGGTAATCACCTGACCCTGATTGTCCGAATCGCCTCAAGCCTCAAGCCTCAAGCCTCAAGCCTCCATTAATTTGCGCCCGCTTGGCGAGGTGGCCAAATATAATGTTCCCCCTCCCCCACCCCCACCCCCCGACTCGATCGCGACGGAGATTCGCAGAGAACGAGCGGATTTTCTCGCACCGAGAATGAATCTCCGGCATGACATAACGGTGGTGACTCCACTCTGCAGTCCTGCAGCGAGAGCGGTCAGCTCGAGCCGACGAGCTCCGTCGTGGTCGAGCGCAGAGAGCCGGAATTAGCCTCCTTTGCCCCCAAACCCTTACCCCCCGCTCTCGTTTGGCGGGGGGTTAAGGGTTTGGGGGGTGGGGGTGGGGGGTTCATAAATGACGGGGAGATGTGGGTGGCAAGGGGAGGAATAAAGGAGGAATCTCCGGGGAATCATGGGGGAAGACGACGTCGCGACTATAGTGGGGTGTCATGGTGACCGGGAGGGGCGAGGGTGCGGCTGCCCAATGGGCGGGGGCATCGTGGCCCCGAGCGGCAGGAAATGGTATTAATGGTGGGGGCAGCTCCGGGGCGCGGGCGCGGCCGGGAACGCCACCCCAGGCACGGGGTCACAAGCCCCAGAAGCTGGAAAGGGCTTCGCGGCCCGATGAAGCGCCCGCCCGCGACAAGAAGCTCCGGGTTCAAGGAGGAGCGCTAGCCCGCTCCCCCAGAGCGGCACGTCCTCCCCCAAAAGAGGTGGGCCAAGCCCCCCAGCAAGCCCCGCCGCCCCAGGCCCCAGGCCCCCATCCAAGCGAAGCGGCCAGCCAGCCAGCCAGCCAGCAAGCCCCGACGCGAGGGGGGTGGGGCTGGGGCTGGGGGTGGCGAGCGGGGAGAGGGGAGAGGCTCAAGGGGGGCTGGCGCCCTCCCCCTGGACAAATAGCACCCGAGCTCACGAGCTCAAGGCAGAGGCGAAAGCGGTGATCTCTTGATTGCTCTGAACATGCCATCCGTCGCTTAATGAGAGCGAGCGCGCGAGAGACGCAGCAGGCAGGCAGCAGGCAAGCGGCAGAAAGAGAGAGAGAGCGCGAGAGACATTGAGAGAGAGAGAGAGAGAGAGAGACTGCGACGACGGAGACAGAAGTCAGTTGAAGTGACGAGAAAAGAAAGAAGCTCCTGACATTTTCCGGCTATGAAGCTCCTGCTGCTCCTGCTGCTGCCGCTGGCAAGCTGAAGCTCGAGGCTGGCTAGATCTAGGAAGCGGAAGAAGGACGCAAGGGACACGACAAAGAACAGAAGAGGAAACCGCTGCGGCGAGTGAGGCAGCAGAGAGAGAGAGAGAGAGACGACAGGCAGAAGAGCGGCAGGCCGAGCAGAGGGCGAGCAAGAGGAAGAGGAAGAGGAAGAGGGAAAGCGACGGCCGGACGGGAGGGAGGGAGGGAGGGAGGGGAGAGGAAAAGGAAAGGAAGGGAAGGCGAGGCAAGTGAAATGAAAGAAGCGAGCAGCAGAATCAGCAAGTACCACTGTAAGGAGGAGGGACGGAGGGAGGAGGAGGAAGAGGTGGTGGTGGTGGTGGTGGTGGTCATAGTAGTAGGGAGGGAAGAGAGTGAGAGAGTGAGTGAAGGAAGAGAGAGAAGTGAGTCAGGCACGGCTGTCTTCTGCCTGCTGCATCCATCAGCAGTAGGAGGGCAGTAGCATCATCAGCTTTCCTTCCTCTCTCTATTCTCTTTCACACCCGCCTGCTCCTGCTCCTGCTCTTCGTCAATCTCTTGATGGCAGCAAGCCAACAAGCCTGGAGGTGCCGGTGGATCAGACATCCTTCCGAGCCTACAACACCCCCTCCCCCCTGCTCCTGTGGGTGCTCTTCTTCTTCTTCTTCTTCTGCTTCTTCTGCTTCCTCCTCCGCCTCCGCCTCTTCCTCCTCGCCCTCCCCTTCTTCCGCTGCTGCTGCTGCTGCTGCAGCATCATCATCATCCTCCTCGTCCCATCATCGGACCCCACCGCAAGCGCAGCCCGCGTGCTTATGCTTGAGCCTGCTCTGTCAAAGCATAAGCCCCAGGAGCACATCGCAAGTGTCATTGCGAGGCCTCTACATCGGGCCTCATTCTTCCTCCGCCCAGGCGCACCAGCAGCGACGATTCATCCCGAGCAGCAGCTACGGCGACGAGATTGAGATGAAAGACATCGAGATGAAGGAAATGACCGCATCGGCGTGCAGGTCGCTCGAAGGGGATTGGCTGAGCAGCGTGCCCGGGCGGGACAAGGGCGGCGAGCGAGGGGACGATGTCGGGGGCATGGTGTGCATCAGTCGCAAAAGGACTCGACAGAACGGGTGGGGGGTCAATTCCGAAACCGCCGCGGCCATGCTCGCGATGCAGCACCAGCACCAGCAACAGTTCCAGCAGCAACAGCAGCATGACGAATCGTGCAAGCTTCCGGACCATTTGATCGAGAGCGTTCTGGCCCGCCTGCCGCTGCAGAGCTTCTTCCGCTTCCGCGCCGTGTGCAGTTCCTGGAACTCGTACCTCTACTCCAACACCTTTCTCAAGGCCTACTCCGAAGCCGGCAACCGCCTCTGCATCTGGTTCCTCGTGGTGACGGCGAATTTGGGGCGCTCGAGTCGCTACGGCCAGCGCGTCGTGGCCACCTACGATCCCGAGTACAACAATTGGCACCGCATTCCTCTCCCGGCCCCGCTCTGTGATCTGAATCCCTACCCGACGGCCGCAGACGGGGGCCTGGTCTGCTACTTCGTCTACGAGAATCGGTTGCGCACGCTCTTCGTCTGCAACCCGCTCACCAAATCGCTGCGCAAGCTGCCGCTGGTGCTAAAATGCGCGTCGCACATCAGCGTGCTCAAGATGGCCGTGGAGGATCCCAAAACCAATTCCTACCTGGTGTTCGTGGCGGGGATGGTTCCCGCCGAGAACGGCGGCGACAGCCTGACCATGGAGGTTTACAATTCGTCCACCGATTCGTGGACCAAGTGCGGCATAATTCCTGCCAAGTACCCCAAGAGAAAGCCCGTGTACGGGAACGGGGTGCTGTACGTGAGGTGCTACGATCAGCGCAGCCTGTTGATAACTTACGACATGAATCTCGGGGTTTGGAACCGGATCTGCGCGCCTCTGCCCCATACCCTAGGCTACGAGGAGCTCGTGCACCACCGCGGGCACGTATTTCTGGTCGGGGTGCTGGAGGAGAATTACAAAATTGAGAGCGTGTGCATTTGGGAGCTCCAAAACAAGCTGCCGTATCCGAGCTATGTGTGGAAGGAGGTGGACAGGATGCCTAGGGTTTTGTTTTTAGAGTTCTTCTGCGACCGCGAGTTCTTCGAGTGCCAGGAGGACGAGCGGGTGCTAATGAAATGCTGCCTCTACGGGGACCTGATTCTGCTCGTGGCCTTCAATATCAGCCACCGCGGCCCGTTCAAGCTCTTGGCCTACGACCTCCCGCACAAGACGTGGAGGAGATTGCCCGAGTCTTTCCACGCGAACGAGTGCCGCACCCATACATTCATCGAGGGGATCATCTACGAACCTCGGCTGGACGTGGAGGCCTGAAATTCTCCCATCCCTTCGTGGTGTAATTACCATCATCCCCCATTCTCCATTCCAATCTCTTTTTTGTACATAAACCCCGACGACCTCCTCTCTCTCTCTCTCTCTCTCTCTGCCCAGGAGCGACAGCAGCAGCACAATGGAGGTTTTTTCGAAGATTAGGACTTTGTGGTATACTTCCCAGTCAAGGATATTGTTTGCTAGTGCCGAACTGCGTCAGTAGGCTGATAAATAGGTACATATGACACCCCAGCCTGCGAGTGGGCCTGGCCAGGCAGTAGTATAGAAGCAGCAGCAGCAATGGTAGGAAACTGTAGAGGGACGGCAGAGAGCAGCAAATTCCTCCACTTTTTTGATTATAATCATGTGGCAATTACGCAACGTCGTGTATCAGAAGAGTTCCGACCATCCATAGGGCACATAGGCGACGCCTTCCTCTCTCGATGAAGGGTTTGCAAATTCACAGCAGCGCCGCAGAAGTTTTGACGAAGTTAGAATTTCTGCCATAGGAGACGGTAATGATCTCTAAGCCATGTGAAAGCTCTCTACAATTTATTGTATGAAATTAAAACTATTACATCATTTTGTCTCACGTTTTGCCTCCGTCTCTGCTCCTGAATTCCTCTCTTTCTTCCCGCCTCGGATGTTCCTCCCAAGCATGCACGCAGGCCTCTCTTCTGCCTTGTGCAGTGGATTCCGAATTTTTTAATCTTTTCTGTCCTCTCGTACTGCTGTTCAATACGTGCAATAATTATGTTGGATGCTGGATGTCTGGTGCGCGTTGCATGCAAGAGGCTAGCGATCCGATCATACAAAATCGCCCCTCGCAGCTCGTCATGTTGATTCGTTTATATCATTTTCTGGATCGGAGCGCTGGAATGTTCTCACGCCCAAATGGTCGTGGATTAGTTGCAACAACTCTGGGCATCTTGACCACTTGGCGCAGACCGGTGCGTGCACACAGCCCCGGCAGCGATCAGATCAGAGAGAGGAGGCGTGTGATTTTGACCTTGGAGGAGCACGTTCTCTTCCGCTAACTGAATGCCTTTCTTGTAGACCTAAGATCCGTCATATCACCAGGAACCCGCGAGACTCCTGGAGCAGCAGCCACTCTGCCGTCTGGGCGGGTGAGTGGGGTTCTGGCCCGCACGAGGTGAGCGCCGAATTCCCCAACCGGATGGTGGGCTACTAATGTCAAGATGGTGGCTATTGTCCTGCCGATGTGAGTTTAGCCCTGCGGTTCCAAATCGTCCGGAGAAGAGTCAACGAGGTAGTACTCGACATGTGAAGAAGGTAGTTGGAGGTTTGGAGATCGAATCCAGAAGGTCTACTTCACCGCAACCCTTGAATTAGACCTTGTCTTAGAGCCAAGGCTGTGCTAATTTCTTCATTGAAGCTCGATGACCATAACAGAGGATTTGTGTAAACTATGAATTTTGTTACAGCTGGGATTGTAATCAGGCACGACGGTACACATCGGTTCTCAGATCGAGTCGAGAAGAACCCTCGTCGGGGGTTTGGGAGCAAGGCCTGTGAGGTTAAGTGTGCACACCTTGCAGATCGTAGGTTGCTGCTATGCGCTTCGACGCGAGAAGGACTGCAACAATCCGATGGAGAAAGTGCCGTGGTAGATTTGAGTAGTTATGCATGGCTGGCTACGTAACAGCCTCTGATCCGAAGCACGATGAGATTCAGAGCAAGTTCAAAAGCCTCTCGGAAAAAAAAAGCAGATCGAGTTTCTTTTCCAGGTACGACCGGAAAGAAGTGGCTTTTCAGAACTGGGGCCTCTCTCGCATCCAAAGCATCACAGAGCCGGGACTTTAAGCGCCCGCATACCCAGTACTGTAGTTGCAAAGCTCTTCCTACAGTACGCCAGGGTCGAATGGCTGCTCGCGCTCGCACGCTGCACATTTTTGCTCTATCGAAAGTATGACTGTCCCCAGATCGTTGAAATCTTCTAAAGCTCGTCTCGATATCTTTTGGATTTCTTCGTGACCGCATTCGGATTCCAACAAACCGCAGGCAAAACTGCTTCTGTATGGAGACGAGGAGGGAGGAGGGGGGGGGAAGGATTGGGGTAGAGAGAGATGGATGGATAGACAGACAGGTGGACTGTGGACTCAGGGCTAGGTCAGATGCCGTACTCGGTCCCATGCTTCCTCGCAAGCGCATTCGAGAGCTTGGCTACGACAAAGTCCTCGGGGCCACCTCAGCAGCACCCTCAGCTACAATGTTCTGCGGGATGAGAGTAATGTCGGCCAGAACCGACAAACTGATCACATTTCGCTTCACTTTTGGGAGATTGTATAAGATTATGCAAACGGATGTAATCTGGTGTCCGCTGTCCTTACTGCCGGGGGGGAGTACTTGCATTTGGGCTCATAGAAAAGAGCGCATTAATTTAAGCTCATTCCCCCGGCGTGGGATAGCTCCAGCAATCACGCCAGTCGGGAGGTAAATTATGGTTCTCGCACCGCCGATTGACTTCCTTCCCGGGCCATGGAAACCGCACTGTTGTTGGTCGTAAATTCAGCCCGTGCAAACCATCTGCTTGTGGCTGCCAGTTTCCTCCCCCGAGTTTTCACCATGGCCACGCCTGCACTTTTACCGTGTCCTCTTGCTGCGAACGGGGCCGATGCTTCTGGCCGACATCGACATCGACACGAGCCCCGGTCGCCTCCACGATGGACATGGACATGGACACAGCTCGCCTTGGACGCTTCATGCTTATTCGGCAAGTGCCTGTCATTATTGGGTGCAGACTGAGTTCCTCGCCTGCTCAGCCATCGATGAACCTCCTCAACGCAACACTCCAGCATTTTGTTTGCTTGCTTGCTTACCTCCCAGGTCAAACGAGGATCGAAGTGAATTACGAGCACATGGCAAGAGCCATGTTCTAGCGAGAAGCGCAGCAAGAGCCTGATCTGACCCGTGGCGAAGCATGAGATGACTTGAGTTCACATTCTGGGCTTGACCGCGTGGCGATTCGAGCCGAAGCAAGGGGAGGGGGGCTGACCGGAAGCCACCAACCGAGGGGAAAAGGACGAGAGACGGGAGTGTGCACAAGTGCTACGGCGCATGAGCGCTACATCCAGAAAAGATGTCAGGATGATCCGGAATCACGCTTCTCGTGGTTGCGGCTCCCGGCAGCTCGGCTCAAACCCTCGCCTCGTGTCGTAAGTTGGGGCCTCTGCGCTGCTGCCGCCCTACATACATCACATCCAGCCAGGCAGCCGAGCACGCCATCGATCGCTTCCAAGGATCTGCTTTGCATGGCCTTATCTCATGCCCGTGCCAGATCCCTCGGCAGCTGCAAGCGGACGGACGGGTACACTGCCCTGCGATCGGTGTCATCTCGTGTACTGTTCGTCCGTCCCTGCGCAGTCAGTCGCAGAGAGGGAAACGAACGAGGGGAGGCCAGGGCCGGGGGCGGGGCGGGGGGGGGGGGGGGGCTGCCGCTGTTCCAGGCTGACACAGTTCCCGAAAAGAATGTTGGCCCCCTCTCGCTGGCCGCTTTCTTTACTTGGCAGCGAAGGCGGCCGTGGGATGAGGCTGGCGACGGGTGCGATGCGACGGTAGGCAGACGGCATAAGTTGAGGACGATGACGCTGACGCTAGGTGGAGGTGACGGTCCCCCCTCCCCCCTCTTACCCCGCTCTTACCCCTCTCTGACTTTCCCCCTTTGCGCTCTTCGCCTTACCCCAACCCCCTCTCTTTCTCTCGCTGGGCTTGGGCTTGGGCCTGGGGCTGGGGCTGCAGGGGGGGTGGGGACTGGGGCTGGAGACCGTCCCCCCTCTCCCCTCTTACCCACTTACCCCTCTCTGACTTTCCCCATTTGCTCTCTTCGCCTTACCCCAACGCCCTCTCTCTCTCGCTGGGCTTGGGCCTGGGGCTGGGGCTGCACGGGGGTAAACAAAACTCTCCTTCTCTCGTCCTCCTTGGCAACAACCACCGAAAAGCAACAGGGTGCCAGCGAGGGGGCGAATCTGGGCAGGGATTCGCCGAGCTGGAGAGATGCCATAGGGCAGAAGCGCACCTGGCGATGCAGCCCGGCCCCTTCCCCGCAGCTCGCAGCTGCGAGGTTTCTCTGCATGCCCTCAGTCTGTCGGTCCCCGCAGCGCACACATACATCTTGCTTGAGGGTTCTCGTCGTGTCGCATCGCCTGACCTTCTTCGGGGCTGTGCTGTGGTGTGGTGTGGGACCCTCTACGTAACTCCAGTTCCCTCCCTCCGTATGATCATCACTGCCCTGGGCACGATCATCCATCGCTCAGCCTATGTCGTTGAGCGATTATTAAGCTCAAATCAGCCCCCGCTCTCCTTCCGTTCTGACGCAAACCTCGTTTAGTTTGCTCATGCTGCCTGCGACGGAGGGTGATCATTTCGCCCCTCGAAAGTGAACTCTAGCACTGCACTGCACTCCGCCAGGCCTTCTGATCGGCTCAGCTACTGAATCTATGGATGCCAACCCTCATGCCCTCCCGTCGAGTCACCGCCACCCCCACTTCCCTCCGCCTCCGATCATCGCCTGCTCACCTTCTTCAGAGTCCAGATATCAGCAATTGCCATGCCTGCGCCTTCTCCTCGAGGCCCACTTGAGGCCCATGTTTGAGATCCGCTCTTGGACCCTTATGCGGTTCCCATGATTCAGAACAAGATCTCGGTTTTTGGATTCTTCAGGTGCTGATTTCCCATCTCTTGGGGCAAAGGCATGTTTCACGGTTTTTAGTTCGCCAACATTTTCCTTGTATCTTTGTCGAGCCATGGAGTTTGGGAACCGAATATAAAAAACTTTTTTGACTAGTCTTCGCATTCGACTCGTTAGACAACCAGAACGAATTTGCCAACTTCCCCAAATCCGGCAATGATGCACGCTAATCGCAAGTTTAGCTCTTTGGTCACCGACATTCTCATACCGAGAACAGCCGAATCGGAGTTGGCGAGCTCTTTCAATTCTCCTGTGACTCCAGCGACAAGACAGGTTTGGTGGATGGATGGATGGATGTGCAAGAAGAAGAATATCTGACTCTCAAGGCGAGTTACCAAAACCAGAAAACAAATCTAGTGTTTGGTATTCAGCTGTCACCACCAACATTCTGGTAGCTACAAGGAATTTGGAGAAAGGTGGGGGAAGTGGCACAGTCCAATTGATCGATCGACAGGAAGTATGATGATGGAATTGTTTAATGCAGGGCCCGGCATGCAGTCATGACATGATATACAAACTCTTGCTCGTAGAGCAGACATCAGAAAGAATGATGACTGCAAAGCTGTGACGAGTGATAATCTTATGCGTGAATAAATAAACAACTTTTTTCTGGGGTAGTAGTAGGCCGAGTGTAGGTAAATAGACCTATACACATTCCTATACTACTTATAAATACCTCGAAGTTGATGCAGCTCACAGATACCCATATCCAGAATGCCTCACATACAATACCTTTCGGCCCAGACACTTCTCGTTATCTGGTGTGGGGCCCCTTTGCATAACTCTCCAGGGCTCCGCTCACTTGCTTGAGTCGCTCAACTACATACTGAATCATTGTCGAACGGTAGTCGTTAAGAATCTTGATGATCCCTCGAAGAATGTTCAGAAAAGAGCTCCTTTCGCCTCCCATTCATTCGATGATTCGAAACATCGACTTCATCCGCTTCATCTTCCCTCCCTCCCTTTCAGCTCATCTCGAGGTGAGTGGGGTGACATGTCTCCAGCGTGCTGCAGCAGTCACATCTTCCACCTGGGCTATGTTTTTACTCAAGAAACCAAAACGTTTGGTGTGATATTGGGAGACGAGGACACGGGTGACAATGCTCCAGCACGCAGCAGCAGTCACATCATCTTCCATCCACGCCATGTTTTTACACAAGAAACCAAAACATGCTGTATGATGTCGGGAGAGGAGGACATGCGTTTCTTCCACTCTACAATACACTCTAGTCTCCAGGGGCCATGTCTTTCCCACCTAATCCCTGTGATTTCGTCTCTTCACTCTGATAAATCTATGGACCTGGTTCGAGCACACGTCTTCGGGTAGGTCTGTCTGTGACAGCAGACGGGGCCATTCTTTTTAAAGTATCTGCGATGAACGGCTGTGTGGAGCTGGCCTCAGTGCTTTCCGCCCCCGTAATTCAGCAACTTGGGATGATTGACATACACCAATCATGATCATACTTCCCTTGGAAACTCGTAAAGCGAACACGTTCAATGATGAGCTTATCTCGTGAGCCGAGCAACCGAACTGGCAGACCTGGAAAAAGCTGAGCTATGTGCACATAAGCTGTACCCCTGTCGATATTCTAAGGACAGCCAGAAGGAAGAACCAGAAGAGAAAAGAATGTGTTTCTGTGAGATGGAAAACATTGAAAACCTATCCCCTCCTTCCGCACTTCAATCATTTTAGGCCGCCTCTGGAAATCGAAAGATGCCATCCAAAACTCCATGCGCTCCATATTCTAGAGCTTGTGTCCCTCCCTCCGCCTAAAGGCAAAAGTCCACACAACCAATTGAAGCAGATCCATGCAAGTGAAGGCTGAGCTCGTCGCCGGCCCTAGATGGGTCGAGCTACGCGAATCTATGGTGGCACAAGGGGCGCCCGCTGGCTGACATGAGGGATTTTGTAATAGACGAGAGAGAGCATCGGCGGGTGATCTCAACACCAAAAGTGGCCCGAAAGCATTAAGGATGAGGCGCGCAATGGGGAGATCGGTAGCGACAGAAGGTCCTGGATTCGCCACCACTGTTGGTTTTCGCGCTCGCGAAAGCAAAAAAAGTGCTCGACAAAAAGATGTGGAGGGCGAAGGCGATCGTCCTTTGGAAACGTCCTGAAAGGATGACGACGACGAAGGTTCACGATCGATCGAAAAAAGGAAGCAGGACTTTCTCGTACTGCGGTTATCGCTTTTCTGCTCTTCACGAAAAGGCGATCCATCCATCGCCCACGAAGCAGGAGGCTCGCATCGTACACATGTACGCTCGAAAGCGATTGTTGTCGACGATGAAAGAAGAAAGGCCGACGAGGAGAGGAGAGCGCGAAGCAAAAATTAAAGCAAAGGATCGGAGGACCCCATCGACGCCATCGATGCACGAGGATGGATCCAGACGGGTAACAAGAACGGCTGGAAGACCCAGAGGGAACTCACTCCGTCGATGGGGAATGACGCCGCGCGGACGGCGTGCAACGGTGGCAATCACCCGTCGAGGGGGGAATCAGACCCGACGTGGCCGGGACCGGAGCTAAACACCCCCCCACCCCAGGGGAGGACAGCACGAAGAGCGTGGGCTCCATTCCTTGGTCCCAACGTCGCTCTTCGGCCCCTCCCACCTTGCGGAGATCGGCTGTGGCCTGGGATGCGTCCAGGGGAACCTGCTGACGCGGTAGGGAAATTCCTGGCATTTGAAAGGGAGGGGGCCGAGTCCAAGCAACGGATGCATGACACCCGCGCGGCAGGGGCTTTAACGGGGCTCGGCCTTCCTCGGTTGGGGACGGGGCAGGGCGTCGGTTTTGAGTGCGATGTGATGCGAGAGCTTCACATCTTTGGCAGTTGAGAAGCGAACACCGATTCTGCTGCCGGGAGAACATTTTATGCTTCTCCCCCCACCACCATCTCTGAGCTTCGCGGATGAGGAATATGGGTTGCAACTCGGGGGGAGGGAAATTCCGAGGCCCCATTGTCCGCTGGAGTGGACTAAACGTACACAGTCCCCCATCTCTCGTCTCGTCTCGGGCTTTGGAGCGGACCCAAAATCTGTCAGACACTCGCACTCCCCAGGGGGCCAGGCACCTCCCACAGTGGCGCCAGTGCTTAAGTAGGTCCTATAAAAAGGCGAACACTGTTGTCTAAGCTTATGTCCCTATTGATCTGCATTGCTCCACCTAATAATAGCTCTAAAGCACACCTTTAATCGACAATTTAAGAGCTCGCTCAGAGGGAAAACTGAACTTTAGGTGCATGATCATGTCTAAATCACAGCTACGTTGCAACCTTTCACAGAAGCTGCTTAGCTTTTAGGAACCTCCTCCCCAAATGCACGCTTGGAGAGGAGGGCCGGAGATGGAGACTGGGGCCACTGGACAGCGTGAGAATACGGCTGCCAACGAGATGACATCATGATGGGTCGACAAGCTTCGGTTGGTTGGACTTGGAGTTCTGATTTGACGATGTCAAATGGGCCAAAGGGTGCATCATCATCGGCAATGGCAAGATTCCCGTTGCCGAGTGATTGTGAGAATGAGGGGCAAAGCTTAATCACCGTCTCGGATGTGCTACAGTCCAGTGTCGCAAGCTGTATTAAAGCTGCTCTGCTGCTATTCTCGAGAGTAAATCAACCGGCAATCTGGCTGTAATGGTCCGATTCACCGTACTGGAAAGTTACCAGTTTGTGGAAAGATCGGTTTAGAGTGTACTGTCACAATCATGACTCGGACACGGTTGACGTAAGTCTGGTCGCATAAGTTCAGAAAATCGAGCGATTTGTAAAATGAAGATCTTGTTGCGCGTGGAGTCTATGACTGACGAGAGTGAACTGATCAGAGTAGTCCCGAGAGGTTCTGCAATGAGTCAAGACAACCATGTCTCCTCTGTATAACAAACCTGGAAAGGAAAACCACTACAAAAGACAAACAGCACTGGAGTTGCGATCTTTAATCACGTGATGCATAAAACAACAGAGAACTTCGTAGTGGAGTTTCCATCGCTGGACTTGTCGAGTGTGCTGACTATGTCTCAGGATGACATTTTTTTCTCTAGCTGCTATCATATAGTGGGATGGACAGCGTAACTCTTGCAGCCAGTATCCACCTCCGGAAAGACAAGTACAGCATACTGCAGCTTAACCATACATTCTGGACTTCAAAACCAAACGACGTTGTACACGAGATGGAAACCTTTGGAAAGCCCATTTACATTCCCACTTCCACGTCTGGATAGACTGACCATTTTTTATAATCATCAAGAGTTTCATCGCTACAAAACTTGGTGAGGTTTCACTTTTTACCCCACACCACGAGTCTAAGTACTTGTGGATACGATAATCTTGTCAATAATCTACTTCGAAGACTCATTCCAGGAGCTAATACCGTGTAATGATCTATCTATAGCTCCGAATACCTCTCTTTTACCCAGACCTGTTTTCTCCCTGCAAAACAATGAGACCTTCATCGCACTTACAGAGCATCTCTTGCTGCAATACGACAAACTATGGCATCTTCAAGGGATGAAGCGTCCAATTCCACGGTAGATATCTTGTAATGCTGGAAAATGACAACCAATTCTCATCATTCAAACATAAGGATCTCACGTTAGATGAGATGTTCCAGCTGTGAACATCTCATCTAACGCTGGAGACAAGCACGAAGCAGAATGTAGTTAATGAGCTGGAGCGATCACAAAACAAATGCACATGGATTGGACAAAGCGGAAACGGTCTCACACCTTCAGGATAGCAGCTTGATCAGCTCTCGCAGGTAGTTCGGATATATCCAACTCTTCTCCTTTGACCAATGTTTTCACAGCATCTACCTGAGACACAACCAATCCAGGTTAACGTTCTTCTCAAGAGCAACTGAGGCCTGATGGTTCCCACTCCTGTACAAAAGTTCTAGGTGTCAGGCCATGACTAAGACAGGCACTTATAGCAGGACCCAGAAGAACTGTAGTCAGCAGTTTGTGCCTGTCATAGCCTTAAGAGCATAGACCTCACGCTCTTGTTGAGCCGTGCTAACGTGAAGAGATTTGCTACAGAGAGAAGATGGTACGAAGCAGACGGGAAACGAGAGAGAACATCTTGACAATGTAGAGGATCTCTTTAGTGTCTGACTTTCTCCAACAAAACTAAAAAATGGAATAGGTTCCTTATCACCGAAGTGATAAGGAACCTATTCCCTTTTTTAGTTTCCATCATCAAAAGAATTAGAGTTGACGAGCTCCTTTCTACAATTACGACAACATCCAAATTCTCGGGTTTTAGGCGTGTGCTTTATAATTAGACACTCAATTACACAAATAAGATAGTACATGATGATCGGCGACAAGGGCATAGCATGTAGGAGACCGAAGCAACGCACATCTAGGTATTGAGCCTCAAGGGGCCGACGATATATTCTAGATGGAAAGAAACAAGAAGAGAAGGGACATGTCATGCACGAACTGACGCTTTCAGGTAATGAAAGACAAACAAATACATTAGGACGAAGCGCCGAGAAGCAGTAAAACGGTGGAATACAAGGAAGAGACCTGCTGTCGAATGTTCAGGGGTGGGATCTAAGTTTGCAGTATAGAGGATCCAGTCAGACTTAAGAAAGTCCTCCAGTCACCATCAAGAATATTGGAATAGGAGGCGTCACACTACAGTCACATAGACACAGCTGCTTCATCTGTGGATCCCGAGAGACTTAGGTATCTATAGTGGACCGCGCGGGGGCTGAGGAGAACTTGGAGTCAAACGAGTCAAGGTACAACTCGTTCCCAGTGACATTACAGACTAGGAATGAAGTTATCGTTGAAAATGACCCCGGTCATAAGCGAAAACTACGAAAACCTTTCATGGTGCAATAGTTTGGTCGTAACATCACTTCCCAGAAGATCTTGTATTGTTATCTCGTACCATATGTTCATCAGATCCAATCATTTTTGTAAACGCAGAGGTATTATAGCACGCAGGTAACATTCAAATATACGAATTGCGTACAGGGGGAAATTGTATAGCTTATGGGCAGTAATCTGTAGTTATCAGTGATCATTACATTGAAGCACAATCTATAGGTTACAAGAGAAGTGTTGTAGAACATAACAGAAATTCCCATCTGACATTAATGAGGACACAAACAAACTGAGTGACAAGAATGAAGTGGAAGTGGCAGAATATCAATGACATACAATCATTGATAGCTAGAGATGAAATGTAAAAGCACAGTAAGAAGGATCAGAAATAAAAACTGGCGAGAGTGCAAGAAATGAGAGGCGTTCAATGATACAACGAAGAAAAATTTTTTACAGGCGTGTATATCTTAATAACAGACGGCATTAGATGTGAAGAAATGTAGTCATTACAAGTTAGTACAGGCCGACTGTCAGTGTCATACAAAACTACTGGAAAGTCTCCATGGCGTTGACGTACTGATTGTTAAGCGTGTAGGACAGAACAAAGGAAAAAAAAGATTCGTAGGAAATTCAAACTGAGCGAAAAGAGCAATTGAACACAAACAAAGGCCTAAGTCTTTACGTAGGCTTTTGTTTATGTACACAGCCGTTCTTATGCATTTGATCCAAGAGAAAGATTATGTATAATTAAAAGAGAGCAGGGATGAAAATTTAATCGAAGTTTGACATGTGACAAAGTTCAAATTCAAATTTTGCAATAAGGTCAAGAACATGCTTGAGGGCTACCATGTGGCTTCTTACTAAGGTTGTTGATTAAATGTAGGCTACTCCAGACGCCTTCAGTAACAGCTAAATGAGGAGCATATTTGGTTAGACTCCTTTATTACAGTAGCAATTTTGCCCTTACAAGAGTTTTGGTCCCACCCCATTGTTTTAAAAAGAAACAGAAGACTTGTTTGTAGGCTCTTTTCAGTTAATAAAAAGACTCTTCTGGTATCTGTGGTACACTTCAGTGATAAAATTCAAAGTTCAAAACATAGTGGTATTTTTGACTATGCAGAACTCCTCAAAGAAGGCCTTTTACGGCCACATAAGGTAGTTGCGGACTTGAAATTCAATACAAAAATATGAGCTCTGATTTCCGCTACTTCAAGAGAGGTCTGAAGTTTTAACTTACATCTTCCGGTGAGGCATCAAAGCGAGCAACCAAAACATAGCTGGTGGTGTCCGATATGCCACACCTCTTTAGAGATTCTGTGATCTTTGCATAGTCAAGTGTTCAAAAGTGACAGAGCGGCAGACTCAGATGTGCAAACAACAGTCCTGGAAATGTAGATCTTCGAAAAAAAATTCGGGTAATTCTCTAGAGTCAATGCCCTGCGTCAGATTATAAACGTCGGTAACTGGTAACATTTACAGCACCACAGTGACATTACACGAACAAGGATATGATATTATCAGTGTGAATAAGATACGTGCTTCGATCCCGAGTAGTTGAAAATGAGCTCTGAATGTATAGAACGTGTTCGTAGACTCCCACGATCATGAGATTGCATGGCTTTATGAGCAGCTGCAAGGAGGGGAAAGGTGTCCGGTATCTGCATACACAGCAAACGCAGGGAATCAATACCCTGCTATTCGAAACGAAAACTCCAGATGCATCCAGTAATTCAATTTATTCTCCATCTAACGCTGCTTGTGATCCCCTATTTTCGTTCCTTCTAACGAAAGCCTGCCTGCCATGGCACACAACAGGACTTTCTGTGCAATACCCATTTCGCTCGTTGACATATAATTGCAAGTAACAATTAAGTAAATTATGCAAGTAGTGTGATCTGATAGTCTTCTCTCCCCTCGCTCGCAGACCAATGACAGTGCAGTTCAAGTAAGTTCCACCATTCTTCTAACGTCGACATCAGTAACATTCTAAGCACATGGAACTTACCAAAGATGCATTGAAAAACGCCAGTTCGGGTTGCAGCACCCCAGTTTGAAGCAGATTTAATATTTCTCTGCAAATTAAGATTGAGCACATGTCTGAATGAATAATCAGGACATATAATTATATCATTGAGAAACTCTAGAAGCAGAGAAGCCGAAAGAAAAATGATTATTTGACAAAATAGGAAATTTAATGGAAAAACTGGCTTTGATTTTCATGAATTACAATTACAAATTAAATTGAAAGGCTTAGTAAAATTGCCACTCATGCTGGCAGACTCACTTGCTATTTTGCAATTCTGAAAACAAGAACAGGTGCAGTGTGTGCCCTGGATGAGTATCCAACTTAAACTCCATTGTGGATTCCTAACTCTCGTCTCCGACTATCTCCAGTGGTTCCCAGACCTATGAAAGAGTTTCTGCTTCAACGCTCGTCATCAGAAGAGGTCAAAGTTTAGGGATTTTCGTCGTGTATTTCCATTGCCGAAACGAAGACGTAAACATGAAAACTAACGCATTTGAATTCTCCTAGAAATGAACATCAAATATGGTGAGATTCGAGAGATTTCGGTGAAAACCATTTTCCATCGCAGAAACCCTTGTTCGTCGTTCTTAAACCCTCTACTTTGTCCCACAAAAAATACTTACTTACGTTCGAAGTATTTTTGTGGGACGATAAAGTAGGCTCCGAACAAGATTCAAGAGCTCTAGATATGAGAATTAGACTAAGTTAAAATCAAAGTCGCTTCATAAATGTTGAGGAAGTACAATGATTCCCGAGATAAGCGTACATAACGATTATGTGGCAACCAACAAACGCAGATGATGAGAGCACTCAAAACGTCAATAATCAATTGACGTTTTGAATTTATAGCTTGTAAAACGAAATCTCCGAGACCCACCAGGTAAACCAAACAGGGACCATCACTGAGCTAGCAACGGGCCATATCTCCATATCTCAACACTGGAAGCGCTATACGCATTGCACTTAGCACATGAGAAAACGTAGCTCACAAACATTGCCAGCTTCACGTAATTCACAGGAAGTCAACAGCAAGTTACAGACTTGCATAGCTCAGAATTTCAAATCGTAAGAAGCGGGATAGTTCAAACTCGTCATGCGGAAATCACCATGCACCAGTCCCAGTCAAACTCAAACTGCTCAGTATGTGAGAGACGATTGTACCAAAAAGAGAAAAAACACCGATGAGGTGAGCGAGAGCTGAAAGGGACAAGCAGGGAAGGAAAAGAAGAAAGCTGTACCGGTGCACGCAGAAGAGCACAGCTGGATTCTGGATTTCTCAAAACTGGTGTTCCAAGCGCACGTACGAGAAAAAGCTCTCGCTGCGTTCCTGCTCGGGCGATTCTCTTCGTCTCTCGAGTCCCTCCCTCACCAACCGCAAAGCCGCCGCCGCCAGAACTGCACTACCGTCCACAATCCCCCCTACCCTGCCTGGTCCCTCGGAGCGTTGGTTCTAACCCCTCTCGAGGGCTTAAGCTTAGATTCGAATCAGCTTAAGCTTAAGCTCCTTCGGCAGATGGGGAAGGAATTTCGGCCCTTCCTTGCTCCAGACAGCTTACGGGGAAGCACCTTTCCTTCCTGGGTCGAAGGTATTATGGACTTATTATGGTTCCCATAAGTCCATAATACGACCGAGATAAGAAAAAAAGGATACTTCCTTCAAGCTCCGGCTTCATCCATTGCCATTATTCAGATTAGCCTTGTATCGAGATTTTCGTATAAATTATTTAAAGGATCCCACTATATTAAAAAGTTCAATCGGAAGTGAAACAGTTTAATAGTCACTCTTAAATGTTTAAGTTTTATAGTTGAAGACTCTTCAGTGGTTGGGTAGATAGTGTTTTCTTCTTCATTGGTTCCATTTTCTTTCTAATATAATCAAACGTGTGCAAATGCAAATAATAAGAAATCTATGTGCATATTTTAAATAATAATTTGAGAATTGGAAACTTAAATATTGGTCACACTTGGTTCTGATATCCATCAAAATCAAGTGTGATATGTATATTTTAAATCCAATATCTAGTAATGTGGTGATGACATTATTGATCATATAATACGTGATAAGATATATAAATTGGCCATATGTAAAAATTAGAAATTTGTCTTGGAAATTCTCACATTCTATTATCATAAATTGGATTCAAACATGTACAACATTGTCATAATATTATTTTATTTCCAGAAATTTCATTTCAATTAATAAGTATAATGGAATATTTGAAAATAGTCTTGTTAGATTATTAATATTTTTAATATAAATTTATATTTCGAAAAATATTATTATTCCTTAAAAAATTTATAATAATATATATTATAAGTATAAAATTTTAAAATTTCAAAAAATATGATGTAAAAAATATATATATTTTGAAAATTCATTGATATTTTTATTTCATACATTTTGACAAAACGACTCTATAAGATGTGTAAGCTTTACAAGCTTGAAATAGATATCTGTTGAGATATTCAATATAAATCTTGTTAATAACTTATTTGAAATAATATTCACATGTTACATTTATCATGCGATAATAATATAAAGTGTATGAAACGTGCGAACTCTGAGATATACTCACGTGATCAAAATATTGTAGAATATTTAAAAAAATTTGATTCTTTTGATCAGTATATTTATATCTATGTTTATGTGTTAAATTTTTAATATTAAAATCCAATTATTAGAAATAAATTAAAAAACCATATATAAAAATATTTTTCTTAGTTTTTATATACTTTACGTCACAAACGTGACAGCAGCAATGACGTGCGGATGTGAGATACAATAGATAACTTATTCCCAACTTTGGAACCGACGTCAACTTTCCAACTTTAATAGTTCTAGAGAAATAAGTCTCAAAGCATTGTTACTCACTCTCATCAACATCAATTGTAACTATTTTTCATGATGATGTACACTTCATCACAACAAAGCAAACAACATATATCGAATAGCTTTTTGTAAAAAATATTTTTTATGTATTTATTTTCCTAATGAGCAAGATTTGATATTGTTGTTCACTATCAAAAGATTATGGTTGTGCACATTGTATAAAGTATCAATCTTACATGTAATGAGATTTTGTGATAACTTTTGTTTATCTATAATGAACTTTTCAACAACATGACCATCATGTGGCAAGAATTTTTAAACTGCATTTGGATCAATATCATATAATTGAATGCACTATAACCTACAATACATTTTTAGACACTAACTAGTAGAATATTAGAGTTACTTTACATATAACATGTTGAAATTTCTTTGTGTTTGATGTTTCTAATGAACTGTACACAAGTTTTATGATTATATTCTGAGTATTATTGCAATTAAGGTATTTCAATTTCTATTTGCAAGACTTGATGGCTCTCACAACTTTATTCTTGTAAAATGAGAAAGATATAATCTCATTAGAGATATTCATATTGGTCGGTGACTTCTAAGATTTCTTGTTATGTAATATATGTAGATTTCATCATACGTTACTATGGAAAATTTATTATCATCAACCATTTTTGTCCTCTATTACGGGCTAAAACAGTGTGTCATGACAAATGTCATTTCATATACCTTGTCATAAACAAAAGTTTGATAGCTGATGACAACATAAATCACATGTTATATTATAGATACATTTATTGTTAATAAGAAAATTTTATTAGAATTAACATACTGTAACACAATTTGATAGCATCCACATATTAGAAGAGTAAACGGGTGAAGAGCCTTCAAGAAAAAGAGAATAAAAGGAAATTAAAAATCATGGAATTACAAGAAATTGATGGAAATGTAGCTTGAAAAAAATATTTTCAACTCATATACATAGAGTCCCTTCCGCTATCGAATTGTGTTGAAGATAGTGTAAATTCAAGGGTCCACAAAGAATGAAAGAATAGAAAATGTGGATGAAAGTCAGGAGGTTCCCGAGTGTCCACTTCCACGTGTGAAAGTGAATCGGGGGACATTAGGGTAATAGCACGGATCCTGTCATGGGAGTGGCGGGAACTGCCGGCAGACGACGCTCTCGAGCGTTTCCCGCGCTCTTGAGCCTGGGATTTTCGTAACGCCTAGGGACACGAAGCCCGCCCATCGATCGATTCTCGAGGACCGAAACTGAAGCGGCCTCGGATTGGCGAATTTGGAGTGCGATTTTGGTGCACCTCTCGATCGCTCGTGCAGTCTGGGGAATGCTCGAGCAAGGCTTGCGGTGCTCTCCGGAAGTCGTGTTTTACGAGAAGAATTTACTCGCAGGCCAGTCCCAATGTGTCACACTGAGATTGGAAGGAAGGAAGGAAGGAATGTTAGAAGCCCATGCGTGGTGAAGGAGGAATGATGTTATTATCACCGAGGGGAATTGCTCTTTTACCGAGAAGATTAGTGCCAGGGCAGTGGAGAGAATTTGGCTTATAGACTTAGGCAATTTGCTAGCAATCTGCTAGAGAGAGAGAGAGAGAGAGAGAGAGAGAGAGAGAGAGAGAGAGAGAGAGAGAGAGAGAGAGAGAGAGAGAGAGAGAGAGAGAGAGAGAGAGAGAGAGAGAGAGAGAGAGAGAGAGATTGATTGATTGATTGATTGATTGACTGATTGATCTAGCTTGCAATGGGAATTAAAGGGCTAACGAAGCTGTTGGCCGACAATGCACCGTCGTGCATGAAAGAAACGAAGTTTGAAGGTTATTTCGGTCGGAAGATTGCAATTGATGCCAGTATGAGCATTTACCAGTTCCTCATCGTTGTGGGACGAACGGGGAGCGACATGCTGACGAATGAAGCTGGAGATGTTACAAGTCATCTTCAAGGAATGTTCACGAGGACCATTCGAATTCTCGAGGCGGGCATCAAGCCCGTTTATGTGTTTGACGGAAAGCCCCCCGATTTGAAGAAAGAAGAGCTGGCCAAGCGCTATGCCAGGCGCGACGATGCAGCGCAGGGTCTCGTGGAAGCTGTCGAGGCAGGGGATCAGGTTGATATTGAGAAGTTCAGCAAGAGGACGGTGAAGGTGACGAAGCAGCACAACGAGGATTGTCGCAAGCTTCTACGACTTATGGGTGTTCCGGTAGTTGAGGCGCCGTCGGAAGCGGAGGCCGAGTGTGCTGCCCTCTGCAAGGCAGACAAAGTTTTTGCCGTGGCCTCGGAGGATATGGACTCATTAACATTTGGGTCCCCTGTATTTCTACGGCATCTGATGGAACCAGTTGCCCGCAAACTGCCAGTCATGGAGTTTTCTACTGCCAAGGTTTTGGAAGGGCTAGAATTGACAATGGACCAATTTATTGACATGTGCATTCTCTGCGGTTGTGATTACTGTGATAGCATCAAAGGTATTGGACCGCAGTCAGCATTGAAACTTATCCGCCAGCACGGTTCTCTGGAACAGATCCTTGAGAACTTGAACAAAAGTAAGTATCAGATTCCTGAAAACTGGAACTATAAAGAAGCTCGGCGCTTGTTTAAGGAGCCTCTTGTGACACCTGCGGAGGAGATGCCTGAGCTCAAGTGGGTTGCTCCTGACGAGGAAGGACTGAAGAAGTTCTTGGTTGACGAGAATGGTTTCAATCTGGAGCGCATCAGCAAGGGTATAGAGAAGATCAAGAGTGCAAAAAACAAATCCTCTCAAGGGCGGCTTGAGTCATTCTTTCAATTGTCTGCTGCTCCCAAGAGGAAGGAACCAGATACTAAAGAGACGCCTGCGCAAAAGAAAGCTAAAGGAAAGGCTGCTGAGAAGGCTAAAGGTAAGCCCGGAGCTAAACCTGGCCCCAAAGCCGGTGGAAGAACGAAGATGAAGTGAATGCTTCCAGGTAACAAAATGCGTTCATCAAGGACCTCCAAGACGATGGCAGCTCCGCGGAGGCTGTGTATGGCCGATGACCTGCCGACCTGAGAAGATGAGGTGAGGCATGCCATGGTACTTTGCACAACTGAAGGCAGGATTTGGAAGGAATGTGCGAGAGTCTTTCAGCTTGTTACACGTGATTTCTGGACTTGTCAATGATTTTACGCTGTGTGCTGCATCCTCTCGACAATCACCTGTTTGTTGTAGACATAACAGGTGAAAGTTTGCTGTCAGTGCGATTTTCAACGTAGCTCACCGGTGCTACTGCAAAGTTGCTTCGTGAGATGAGATAAGGAACTACGTAGTCGCTCGTCACCTTGGATAGCGATTTCTCCACTTCTGTGAATGAAATCTATATTCATGACCCAGAAAGGCGAGGGTCTAGTTTTAAACAATTCTGTGTCGAATGAGTGTAGCTAGTTGGAAATACCATAATTTCTGCTTGCAGACTCAAGTGACCACATTTCTTGATAAATCCGGTTATGTGGCATCGGATGTTGTCAAGTGTACACTACAGTAGTTGCAAGGACTTTTCCAGACACAGCAGCAGAAGTCGTAAAAGTTGATCCATCTGCAAGGTTTTGACACTGTAAATATGAGGACCATGCTCTGCCTCACTATGTACTGACGATGCCAAGGAGAAAAGTTGGCTTGTAAGTTGGCCCTTCACCTGCCGTGGTTTCAAGCCTGTATTGTATCAAAACCAGTGGATCTCATGAGGTAGACGTAACGCAGGTTTACTGTCCTAGGCTACAGACGGTAAGCCACGACCTTGTGCGTAAATCAGATGATTCTGTAGAGATTGTCAAAATTCATCACATTATCATGGTGGGAACCAGGATAGCGGTTATAAGAGTTCCAGGTCAGGTGTAACGAAGATGCGTCGCCAGAAAACCCGTGAGGGCAGTATCTTGTAACATTGCTCCAAAACACATCAAACACTTTGATGCCTGGCACATGCAGGAAATCTTGTTTCCAGGAAACTATGAGTAAATCGTATGCTTCTTAGCTTTTACAGGTAATTAAACCTAATTGCCACCGATTCATGTTTTGATGTGTGATGCTCAAGTATGTCCGGTGACGATGTGCAGTTGAGCTGGTCTTTACCGCATCTGCAACTTTACCTCACGACTCCGGCACCGCAGTACCTCAGAACTCGTCTGATACTAATGCCTGCTCACTCAACTCATTACCATGCTGCGAAGCATGAAGATTGTGTAACTCCATCAGCAGCTCTTGCAAACCACGTTGACACACATACTTTTGCAACGCCCCCAGCACATTGACATGTGGTGGTTTCGATCTGTTGAGTTGGTTTTGGTGGAACGATGCCAATACATCTGTCAGCCTTGTCATTGTCACCCTAAACCCTCTCTTCAAGCTGATGCTTCCACACTACCCTGCGCAGGACCAGAAAACTATCAAGTACCACAGCTTAGGACTTCCGAATGATAACCTAAATATGAGACGATGTGCATATCTCTCAGTAGTGAAGTTCATCGAGTGCACTGAACAAGCACTAACAAATTATCTAGTTCTGACTTCGGAATTCAAAGAGTTTAATCATACTCGCAAGGCTTGTACAAGATACGGAAATTGAACTGTCGACAAAATCACTGTGTAGAACCCCATGCTTGATGCATCAGCTACGTTACTTCATTATGATTCTAGTCTATATATCATTATTATACGCCCTTTACATCTGGTATGAAGCTCCGCTGGATTTCAATATATAAATGTAAAGTTAAGTTCCTTAAAACAAGGTCGCTTATATGAAGCGCTTTTTCTTAAGTCGTGATTTTTGTCGATTTGAGGTGTACTTTCCACTGCGATAGCGATGAGTGTTTGGATCAGATAGTATTTACGATGTTCAGGGCGATGTACTTTATGGGTTCCGAGTAGGACCATGCCCAATGCTAGGAACATACCTGATTCTCGTTTAAACCGCGTAAACGCCCAAGCATGGTCCGACTATTTTTGAATGCTTTCCCCAATGTCTTTCTTTCACGATCGAGCAACAATTGGAATGTGGTATATTTCCAGGTTTATTTCCTATGTGATATAGCTACTGATCAAGCAGTGAATGGGATGCGCTTTGATGCGCAGTTGTGACTTCCAGGAAAGGTCCGTTTGTGGCACCGAAAATTATGATAATCCAGAGTTTTCGAGCCGCAGACGTTCACAAGTTAAAGCACTGACAGTGTTGCCATCTAGATTGCAATGCAAGTGACTAAATCGCGGATTTTCCTTCCATCTATAGACGGCTTACTGTCCAACTTTTTGAGTTCCGCCAATGATACGAGAGGAGTTAATCACGCCAAATTAATGTGGTACTTATTTTGTACGCTCATACGGCATGTATAATGTCACCAAATTGTTGTACGCTTCCTATGCTCGAACTCCCGAACTCTACCTCTGTACATCTCGGTAATTCTACCGATTTATGCTGCTCAAGGTGGCTACAAGCACGAGAATAGCGTTTCAGGAGACAATCGATGAGTTAATGACTGTTGGGGTAGGAACCCTCAGCGCGATTTGTTCGTAGACCAAAAGATCATATTAATAATACAACTATAGTGAAGAAGGGTATAATGTATATTTGCACTCTGTAGATCCTTGCCTCATTGACACAAACCTGGATTTACTCATGCATGCCTCACAGTAACTTGTCCCGGGACACAATCTCCATCTCGATCCCACGCGATTGTAGAGATCCAGCACATTTTATGTGCCTTTGGTGTGGTAGAGTTGAAACCAGTTTCACTTGTGAAAATGAAATTACATTCATGTTATTCGTCCACTGGTTGCAACATTAAATTTTGTTATGGATTGTATGGACAAAATTATAATATTTTATTATATATTTTTAGATTGTTAATTATATTTGATATTACAAGTCAATTTTGGAAAAAATTCTTATATAACATTCATTTGTAGATTATTAAAATCATTGAATAGATTAAAAAAAATTCATAAAAAATGTATTGTAATATTTGATAAATTAATAAGAACACAAATTTTTTCTTGAAATATATTATATACTTCATGAAAAATATACTTCATATATATTGTATATATGACAATTGGGGAGACATTTACTTGATAAGACTATATTGGAATCTAAATTATTTATTGGGACCCTTTAAGTTTTGTTTTACTTGATAAGATCTGAACAATGATACACTTCACATATATTTTAGTCTCAACAGATGGTGCAGGTAGGAGAACTTTGTCTCAGTGATGGCTACTCTCGACAACATCTTGGAAACGTGGTGAAATCTAGTAGTTTCATTTCTGATTGCAGTTCAAGCATAGCATTGCACGGAATCCAGCCTTGTCCGTTCGGCATCTAGTACGAGTCCAGATCTACGAGACTCAATACACAAATTTTTGCAACATCATGATACAAAATATCATTCAATCCAAATCAACATTGTTTGATGGTCGCATTATGGAATTGACACCACCGGCATGTCATTGATGTTGAACGAGACGAGACGCTTCATGCCCAACAGTTGGTGCTGTGGCTGCACTCTTCATCTGTCAAAGCTTCGTTCGAGACAGTAGTTGGCTAGATTAAGTACTCCTATAGCAGTAAGTTTGGACCTTCACTAAATTCAAGATTTGCGATCGCAAGAAGTCCACTAAGCTCGCATCATATGCATAGAGTAACATGTTTTTGAAATTCGCGACAGTGTGTCGTTTGCGGAGTCTCATCGCGTAAAACAAGACTTGATGGATATCAACAAGTAAATAATTCGACAATTGTTTATACATGAAAAAAAATGAATAATGAGATTATAAATTTTATAACTATTTTACATGTATGACATGTTCATCATGAGAAAAATCAATATTGCGTTTGTAATTTGCAACCAAAATAAAGATTTGGATAAATCCAAGATAATTTTAATGATGGACACTTTTAAAGATTTGATGAAGAAGAAAATAGTTGATTCGAGACAATTACTATCAACATATACTTGAAAGATTTAACATGTCAAATTCTAAGATAATATGAATTCTTTTGAAATCACTTTTCAAATCTTTCACAAATTAACGTCCAACCTTTACTATTGAGAAATAAAAGATGCTATATATTTCCCATAACAAAACCTTGTCACATGATTTTACATCAAATGAGAATGAAAATGGAGACAAAGAGTGCGAAAACTTCCATGAGGTACAATCCTTCTGCATGATAAATGAGTTTTAAATTGCCAAAAATGGTTTTGCACTCATGGTAGAGAGCTCCAAGCAAGATCGAAGGACACCGATCCGCAATTCTCTCCCGGGTTCGATAACTTGCGACTTTGAAATCCTGTGAAATGAAGGCGGAAAGCTCACCATCCGGAGATTCAACTGGAGGATAGGAGCACAAAATGGTTTGTGTGTGACATTATTTCACAACTTATGTCATGTAGTTATTGTGACCATCCGACCAATGCTGCAAATCAGTATAAGGAATGTAGGCAATAAACTCCCTTTAAGAGAAGAAACCTGGACCATATGCACAGTTTAATCTCACATCGTGCCCCAAATGAATCTGATGCCTGAAATTGTATCCACGGAGGACCACTATCCCATCCTCAGAATTTTCCATTCGAACTATTTCTCCAAATTTTGAAAACTTTGAGATCATTCTGACCAGCAGAACTGCTCCGCGCACATTTCATGTCCGACGCGTGTTACGACATGACCAACGTCGTGTTCCGCCATCAATTAGTGCATACTGCTCCTCATTTTGGTTTATGCAACGACTGAATCTACTTTGGTCAGTCTTTGAATTTGTGCCGCTCCATGACCTCCATTACTACGAGAGCTACGAATAAAATACTCGATTCGAGAGTAGCAAGCAACTCCCTGTGTAGAGCGTTCCAATCGTCACAGATATTCGTCACACGACAACTTTTTCCAGTTTACCGAGATTCGGATTCTTGCCACTTCCTGTGCAAAAGTGGTGCGCGAACCAAAATGGAGCAGTGGTTCACTCCTAACATCAGGGGGTAACGCTAGTCCAGCTTCCAGGCCCTCACTTGCCCTCCGTTGCCCAGATGTTTTCGAAGTAAGTATTGCGTAGTCTCAACTTGTAAGCATCTTGGGGAAAACCTTAAGCACCAACTCTGAGAACTCGTAGCCTGGTGGCAGTATCATATGAGCTTTGGTATGGCTGGAGCTTCCCTTGATCCATTTACACTTCCAATGCTAATTGGATTTCCTCCCTCCCTCTGTTGTTCAGCCGCAGGCTGAAAGCAGATTTCCTCTCTAGAGGTCACGGGCCACTTCCCTCGGTTGACTTCTGTGCTCCACCGCTTGGATCTAGCATTATGATCAGTTAATCGTGCAAAGACGTGCCTCGGACGTTGCACAATGTCCGAATCCCCTCAGACTCAGACGAAAAAATAACTCAAACTGAACAAATTAGTGTAGGACACAAAGACTTCAATACAATTTCTCGTACCTGAAAATCCGAACAGTGCGACCTGGAACAAACTGAACATGGCGCCTGTCACTCGTTGGACTCCATTCCTTCAACCGAGAACGACCCTCAAGTAGCATTCGTGACGGAAGGTAGCTCCCACCAGTCAACCTCCCAATGAATTCTGGTGTGTCCGGCCTGTGAACGAGTGTACCGCAATGAGCAAGTCGCAAACCTGTATGAGGTGTGACCGGTGAGCACAAGCTGAATTCGTACCGCCGAGGAACAAAAACGCAAAGAGCACGCGTTACTGACGGCATAACCTGCCCCGGTGATTTTGCTTGCTCTGGATATTTGGTAAGAACATGCACGTTTCCGAAGTTCCAAACGCTAGTCATAAGAGCGAAGACTACTGTTTTGACACTAATTGTGGGAGACAGCTTGTACAACGCACATGGTTCTCCAAAAGCAGAGTACCAAATTACAGTTCCTCGTATCATTTTGTGCAATCTGTACTTTCTATTCATACTAAGAAGCTATGTTCTTACGCAGGGTTCTCTCTCACGCTTGGACTTCGTAATCTTATAACGCACTGAAACACGATTCACTGCATCGGTGCGTCGCTCATTGAAAATCGTCTGAGAAAATAGCATAAATTCGGCCTCATGATTGAATAAGTGCACTTGGAACCATGACTACAGGGGCTGTCCATAAAAAACGAAGGTGATTCTCGACATTGTCACTGGACTTCAACAAAGGACTCGATATAAAACTGGGAGGTAGATGAAGGCCATCCATTTCGCAATCATCTCTCCAACCCTGCAGTCTGAAGCCCAAATTGTGCTCCAACCTCCTGCCTCATTGCAGTCAATGACCCAAACTCTCCCTCTGCGACTGGCGGCCCATCCCATCCTTCACCGAGCGCTCCTTATCATGTACAATCCATTGCCATGGAGACAGTCCTCGTTCTCTATTCTCGACGGACTTCGGTGATCTGCGAGCTCTGATTATTTCAGAGACCAGTTCTTCGAGAACGGTCGCAGACCAAAGATGCTGATACTGTTCAATACATTCGAGATGTTTTTCAACCTGCTTCAAGATGCACAGATTCAGCGTTCGCCAGGTTCTTAGTCGTTCTTAGGAACTATTACAGTAATAACGTCAATTTGACATCAATAGAGCTACCGAAGTTCATGGATCGATCGATCAAGTACTGCCTGTATCTTCAAGCTTTCCAAATTTGTGGCTGTCAGCGTCTATGACAGCGTAACTTTTCTCCGGAATATAAGGGCCAGAGGCGGAGTGAGGCAATCCCTGGTGTGCTGAAATTGGAAACCAACTGGCGTGCTCAACGAGGCCATTGCGTACACATGCCATAAGAAGGTGATCTTATCTCACCGAAGAAAGCTCAGATTCATTTTGAAGAAACAGAGGGTTCATCCGATCCCGCTGCTTTATCATTTGTAACCTGCTGTAACATGTAATGAAGTCTAGAGAGGAAAGATCATCTTATACAGAAACAGATGAGGTAAGTTCCATAATCACCAGATAAGTAGTCAGCGTTTTTTGTGTAGATGTACTGGTATATATCCAAACAGCTGCCAGAGTTGAAACAATGTGAACGACAATTGTTCTCGAGTTGTATCGTCTCCCTCAGGGAAACCCTGGCTGCTTGAGCTCTTCGTCGTTTTCACCATCTAAAACAAACTTACACAACGTAGCGATGCTCGCTTCGAGTCGAACTACAACATCGAGAAGAGAACTTTGAGACCACTGCACAGACTCGAACATGGTTATACTCCTGTTTAACGTCGATAGAGATTCTAGTCTTATATTAATAAGATAATCGGTTTTACAAGTATCCCTTGTGCAGTAACTTCAAGAAAGGTGCATTTTGTTAGCAAAGACTGCAGGGTGACGGTGGTGCTTCCTGATCTTGACGAGGTCGAAGTCGAAGTAACACCTTTCTCCTTTGTTGCCTTGAGTGGCATTGCCACTCAAACACACAAATGTGTCGAAGCATGACTGAGTCCAATGTCTTCGTCATAGTTGAGTGCTCTTCTGGGAGGAAAGATTCCCTGACTGAGTGTATTGACCACCTTATGCGTATAAGCCTCAACTTGAAGGGAGTTGATTGACGAAAGTCTCGTCATCAGACGAGTGAACAAATTAGCGCTCAACAACCTGCAGGAGACTACACGATTTGCTCTGCAGTCGTGATCAATAAGCTATCGGCTGCCAGCAGAGATCGTGATCAATAAGCTATCACGCCAGATGCATTTTGTGCAACATTTTCCTCCAGCGTTCATCCGATGGTTTGTACTTTTGACAGAAGCAACAATTATCCCTGATTGAAGAAATATTGCAGATGTGCTTTTACTTTAGGCCGAAACATCGCGTCCTCAGTTTTCTTGAGACGAGCATGTAAAGTCCCAACAATCTGGCTATGGACAACACCCTTCGAAGACCAGTTGATTGCAGATTTTGGAAGTTTTCAGATACACGTGTCACGACCCGAAGCTGCAGACGATTCCGCATTACCTCGTGAAATTCGAGCTTCTCATCTTGACATCTTCGTATCTGTTACGCCGCCGCCTTGAAACGAGTAAATCAACTCGTCAGCGTTTTTCACAACAGGAAGAGAAAGAAGCACCTCCTGCACGTGTTCGGTGTAATCCTGTAGAGAACTTCTCTTCCCTGCCCTCCTGCTCCCGGGGAAGTGAGACGAAATCCTCTGATAAGCAAGAGGGCTCGCCAGTGGCGATTTGGCCATATGCAGGCTACTAAATTCGTCCTCGATCGTGTGGCACCAGGTGACGTCAACGCTATGATAGCCAGAGTCTGAATGAACTCTTAAGTATTGCGATGAGGTGTGCCTCGACGGGCCGCCACGAGTCCGCCCATCTACGAGTAGACAGAATGTCTTCTCAAGGTCTCGTCGTTCCAGCCAAAGCTTTTGAGTGCAGCGTGGAACTGACTTAGAAATGCGGACCTATTCTTCTACCACAACCACCACCGCACTCCTCCTCCTCCTCCTCCTCCCAGCATTCCTAATTTGGTCGATACTGCATCCAGCACTTTCGGTTCTCACACCATTCTCTCACTCTGGATGGCACGCACTTTTACTTCTCCTTGGAAGCTTGACACTCCTTGTATTTTCTCTCTTATGCACGTCTCCTCTACCCTCTCGAGAGTCTGAAGAAGTGATCAGCAAACAGTTCTGTACACCCCACAGAGAAATGCTTGAAAAACCCAAAAGTAACGAAAAGTGAACTAACAAAGAAATCTATGTCGAGTAGTTTCCTTAAATGCTGGTTAAATATGCCCGTGCTTTAGGCCGTTGAAAGACATTCCTTCCCATAATGAACGTTCTTTTATGAATTCTTGTACCAAGAGGAAAAAGCGTAGGCCGACCTGCTCTTTAACTCAAGCTTTATGCATCGCAAGCAAATGACCGACGATTCGCGTGTGATGGCGGGAGTCTCAGGGCTCAACTACCATAAATAATATTATTTCACACTCCCGCATGGTATTGCCGCTCTACGATAGGCACTAAACATAATTTGTTCTTTCGGAATCCCTTTCAATGATAAAACGTTTAGCACGAGTGAAATGTGATTTTATATTCATTCTTATCCATAATACATATTTAAAATATACTTTCCTTCAAAAGATATAAACCGTTTGCATAATGAGTATACTTCACTTTTTCAATATTTTTGTGAGCCACTCGCGAACAAATCCGCTGCTGATTTTATTCGCGTGTACCGCCTTAGTGATCACATTGTAACAGCGATAAGTAACGGAAGTGTTGCAAATGGCAGGAGGTTTGGCTCGCGTAATTGACAAAGTAGTACCTTTTGTACTTTATTAAAACTCGAACTTCCAAAAGAGATAAAGCTTTACTTCGGTTTTTTACACATCTTCCTTCTTAACGGGTGAAGGTCAGTTGATCATTTCTTGCTTCAATGCGCCGTGCGCCGATACTACGATACTACTCTTCGCTTCTGGAAAGCTAGAAAGAGCAGACTGCGCGTGAGTTGTTGATGTTCCCATTTAGAAGGAAGAATTGACACGCGTACTAGGCGATCACGAGAAAGCGACTTGACAAGCGGTGGAATGTAAATTAAGAACCTTGCAAATCTTGAATGAATCAATAAAGGGCAGTGCTCAACTAGTTCATCATCGAGTGGACCAGACCGAGAGGACAGAAAGTCTTTGAACGACAAATCATTAGGCTGTTTCTATTCTATTCTACTCTACTCTCCACTGTCATAGGCACACTGATCAAGTTGTGCTTCAACTTTCTGTTGTACTGGCAAATCTTTCCACCCGTTCCCAACCTTTGGGAAGTTAAAGAGAAGTCCAATTTTGAAAGGTACACTTTCGTTGAACAAATTATGACAAGATCGATGGGAATCATCGATCCCAGGATCCCATCCCCATCAACCCGAACGAGAAAAAGAACCGGTATCGTCGAATAGGCCAAGAATCAATTACATATAAGTTACATTGCTATGTTCTATTATCTACGGTATCTGTTATAGTATCCATGGATGAAGTGTAGTAAGGTTTTCAATATGTGAATTGATTCTTTTATATAATTATATGAAGATTAAAACACTCTTGATCACTTTTTTTATATGAATCGTTCTATAATGATTAATTTTTAAATGTTTGAATATGAATGTGTTTGGAACTATGATCTACTCTATAAAATAGTTTGAAATCAATAACGGTATATTTTAGTAATTTTTTTCAGGCATTTATTCTGATATATTCAAAGATTATTTTAACAAATATGACTGATTTAATTAGGTATTTTTTGTGAAATTAGAAATTTTGATCTGAGTTTTTTGTAACACAAATTATTATTTGAATAAAAATACTTTTATGTATGTTGACTCTTTTGTATGATTAGACCCAAAAACAATTTAAAACATGTAAATGTCAAAAACAATAATTCAAAACATTTACATTTTCATCCAAGTTTGAAATTCATTGTGATGAGTATTGATTTTCCTTGTATGATTACATCTGATTCGTATTGAAATGTTTTTGAAATATGCACGATAAGTTTCAATCTTTTTAAATTTGTTTAACAACAAAAGAGATGTATTACATTAAAGACACTACATGAGCTTTCGGCTTTTACCATGTTGCCTACCTAATGCTCTGTAAGCAAAAAAAAGCATTGCATCAATAACCTTAGCATATCTTACACTCTCTTTAGTCAATCAAGATATTTCTTTATTATTCATTTTGACCAGTTTTGATGATTCCTGGCTTGAATATGTATAAAGACTTTTCATTTCACAAAAACCATTTATTACATTCTACTGAGGATTTTACTCGGCTTGATACATGCATATACATTTTTAAAAAATTCACTTATAAACGTATTTAATTTTGATTTAATATGGATACATATAATTGATCTCCAATTGTGAGTACATAGGTTAGCTATTCAGAAATTATTGTGTTTGTTTTTACACAAAAGGATAGATTTTTTAACACGATAATAGCATTGTTGTGCCTTGCATTGAACTCCAAATATGGAAAACCGATATAATGATGAAAGAGTAATAAGATATAGATGTAGATAGATGTAATTGTTTCATTTTCACTTTCATTCCTCTTGCAAAATAATTCTTACTTCTCTCTAAATCGATGTGCTGAATGCGACACCATATCAACAACGTAAACATTACTCATCCTTACGTAGTACAGTCCAACACTTGGCTAGGACCTTATACTACTTCATCCTTTCTTTCAAACAACAGTAACACAATAGCATACCACGATGGCAATGTATTTTTAGTAGGTTTTAAAATCGGAGGCTCGAAACATATTTTAATACTAAGAAGAGAATCCGCTATCTATTTAATTTTCAAATCCCATATTTTATCGTACGAGGTATGACTGCGTTGAAGAAAAGAGCTCAAGATCAGCACCTCTCCTTTATTTTGCTCCAATCAAACATAGCTCTTGATTGCTGCCTGTTGATTCCACTCCTGGATATCATCATTGTGCGGCTAATCTGGGACGAATCTTTTGATTCGAATTGTACACGACCATCGGCTCTGCTTCTATTTGTTAGTTTGAGTGTTCCGTTCTGGCATGTGACTTATGTGCAATGGAGACGCCTACAGCCCAAGAGAGGAATTAATCGACGGGTGTGCACTTCACTTCCACAGTGTTGAGCTGAATGCTTCCAGTGTTGTATATTTTTGTCTACCATCCGCAAACTCTGTGAAGGTTGAGGGTAACCTCCACGCTCCAAACATAGAGTTCATGCTTGACTTCCATGACCAAATTTGGCCAAATTGTAGTGCAACTCACCGATGTCAAACTCATCGTCAGAGTGAGGCCTAGCTCTTCCATTAGTTCGGTGTTCAACTGGAAACAAACCAAAAATCAGTGAAATATCAGAGTGTTCACGGAAACAAGCACGAGCCTCTTCCACAAGGTAGCACAGGACAATCGGAGCTTGATCTCCATACATACAAAGATTTCGACAGAGAAAATCCATTACATCACTTGCACACTTTTCATACCCAAATTTATCAACTTACAACATCAGATTGAACCCATAGCCGAATATTTACTGAAATGACATCAAAGTCTGTGCTTTGATTTTAAACATTACTTCTCACATGAAGACGAAATATTAACACTTCACCATGCCCTACTTATGTACAGTTCCAGTCAATGATGGCCAGATTTGACATAGCGTCGTCGTGAAATGTTTATCATTTTGGAAATGTGGAATGACTCAACTAATGCTAAAAAGTCATTACATTCATTAGACTATGAGCAATTCAGCACACGCTGTGATGATGTATGCAAGCTTCAACAAGTATCAAAGGGTGACCAGCGACTACTACATCAAATCCAACTGCGTTAGACCCCACTTCCAAAGTGAAACCAGCACAAAGTTCTAGCAAGCGAGAGCAACTTGGTTATGGAAAACCTTCATGAAGCTTTTTGAAACCTGTTCCCCAACTCACAATTCTGCCAAAGCACTTCCGAATATGATGGACTTTGTCCCATTCTGACTTTAATCTCATCTAACTTCTGGACATTGCGGCGTTTTCCAGCTCGCAACTCGACCATACTTCTGCTTTCGCTCTGTAATATTGGATTCATGTTTGGGCCTCCACTTATCCATGACATACCAGCCGGCTTTGGGCCCACTTCTGCTGTTATCTCTGGCTGGAATCAGACGTCGAGTGGCCGCAATTGGCATGTAAAGCGTTGAAGATCCCACCAGACTTGGAAGGGTGAGAACGGTTTCGCCTCACCATCTGGGACTCGTTTAGAGGTGCGAACGGCCATAAAGATGGCAAGCGACTCCTATGAGCTCCGAAGGGCTCATGGACGCAACGGAACAACGTGCCTACTTCCCCCGGTATGCTAGACTCATGCTATTCAAACAGACTTTCGCGTCCTCTTCGCATGTAATTCCAACCTGGTAAAAAACCCACTTATTTGGAGAGCAAAGGGCTCCTCATATATACGAAACTTCCATGCAATGAATCCACAAAAGGCCATGTGTCGCTATTGACAATATACTGTCAGACGCTCAGTATTGTAGAATACAAATGTGCTAATCTGTTCATTTATTTTTACGACATCACAGCGAACATTTCAGTTCATTTAACAAGTGCATGAACCCTGTAACGAGGACTGCTGGTTGATGTTTCATGGTCTTTCAGATCAACATGACTTTCACTTAGAGTCAGCTCAGAAAATGTAGAGGGTGCAAGCAGAAAATAAAGAATTGCAGATACTCTGAGCCTTCAATTTCGTGCAGAGAAGGCAAATTAAAATACTTTTCGTGGTTGGATGTACTAATCATCTTATCCAGTGATAGGTAAGGGAAGTTCAAGGTCAACCTTCGACTGGAGCTTTTGAGGGATTCATCGACGACAATCACTTATCAACAAAGATAAGCACCTTCATTTTCTAAAGAAAATATATGGCTATCTCGTGTTAAACCAAATTATCATCTTAGGCAGG